CATTCACTGTTGTATATTATAAAACAAAAAATAATAATGTCTAACAGGTTAAATTTATTGGCGCGGTGATCAAAACTTCACATCATGTGTCATCTTTGTCGGAACACTGATAGACTAGATTTTTTGAAATTCCTGTTTCACTGCGACCTTTTCAGATCTATTGTGTACATTCTTCACTCCTATCTCTCCACTCCTCCTAGCTCTTTGTCAATGGCCTAGTACAAAGAACCGCACCATTGCTAGACTGTCGCACGGACATAAAATGTGTGCTGTCATTTCTTCTTCAGATTAAAAAAACCTGCACATGGCTTCATCATCTGTCAATCCCTACCTACAGCTTTAGATGCCTATTAAACTTACAATGCCCTGTTAGTTGGCCCACAAATGTTATACAATGATTTTTTCGCTTGTCTCAGCCCCGGTGAATTTCTTCCGGTCTTTCTCAGCCCCGGTGAATTTCTCTACCATTCTTGAGTTTTGTTGACCACCCACTGTTATGTAGCCATTTTTATGACTGCTTTTGCAGCGCATCAGAAGGGTTCTGGGCCTATGAATGGCACTGATGAGCCTTGTTTGGCAATTTTATCTGCATTTTTGTTACCCCTGTGACCACTGTGCCCTGATACCCAGGCTAATGTAACATTGCTACGCTCAGTCAATGTATTTAGAGCACGCACACAACGTGAGTCATCTTTGTCGGTGCATTGTTATGGTCATACCTCTTATTTTTGAAAGTAACAACTAAACTAAGGTGCCCGGTGGCGTAGAGGTACAGTTTCTCGTCTACCAATCTCAAGGTAGTGGGTTCGAATCCCACACCCGGCATTTCATCAGCCGACTATTTTTATTAAAAATAGTTTGGGTACCTAGGTCAACTCAGCCTTAAATGAGTACTTTGGATTCACAATCCTGAGGTAATAATAGGCGGTTGAAGCGTAATGCTAGCCACGTTACCTTCCTTGTATACCGAACGGCTCTAGTATGGCAAGCTGTACCTTGCTACTTCCAAGACGTCAAACGCTATATACGGGAGCTATTATATTATTATTATAACAACTAAACTAATCAAAACGAATTAAGGATAATATACCGGGTGCGTCTCAAAAGTGGCTCACCCCTATAACTTTTTTATTTCTTCAGATAAAAAAACGAGATTTGGTATGTTAGTATATGACATAAATTGGAATTCATTGACGTATTCAACTGTTTTTGGTCACTTCCTGTTTCACCGGAAATAACTACAACTTTTGATTTTTAAATGGCACCCTGGGTATTTTTTTACTTTATTCGATAGAAAATGACATTCTGAATAGAATGACATCATAGATAAATGCAACAAGTTTAGATTGGAAAGCCCGTAAAAATTTTAGGTCGCGACCGTTATACGCTGTCTGGCGCTGCTATAACGGTCGCTAAGAACAACGGCAAACAAAAACAGAAATAATTTTCTCTTGTCAAAGTCAGAATCTTCAAAAATCATAATAATCTTTCAAAATCTAAACCGCTCTCATTAAAGAAATTCCGAAAAGAACAGCGTCCATTTTCAAAGTAATTATTGTTATCTTGTGAGTTTAATTCAAGTTTTATTTACTCCAATAATAATAATATATATATAATTGTGATAATTGTGAAAAAGTGGCATTAAAAACTTAAAAAGCTGTGCTGTGAACTGCAAAAACCATCGTGGATCGTGGCATAACGTCGGTTCCAATGTTTCATAGGTATTTCATACATGCGTTTTTATATAAAATAAAGTTTCTTGTATGCAACACACTGTATTTTGTTTATAAAATTAAACGGAAATAATAATAAATTTGAATAAACAATATTTGGCGATATAATTCCGGAAAAAGCCGAATCGCTCCGAAATTTTCAAAAGTTTTGGGTCGCGACAAAAATTGCGCGCTAAATAGTGTTTACATTGTCCTTATGGGCACTTTCCAATCTAAACTTGTTTGATTTATCTATGAATGACATATCATATGTCAAATTTTGACATTCTCGCTTAATAAAAAATCGTATTTTAAAATTCAATCTAGAGTGCCATGGCTATGTTAAAAACACTAATTCTTAATCAAGGAGCCTTGGAAAAATATATTTGATCGTCTAATGTTTTTAGTGTCTTGTCCTGGCCAGTTAGAAAATGCTCAAATCGTATTTTTAATCATATCTGAATTTTTTCAAATGGAACGAGGGTGGCTCATTCGCATATTTGGAAAAAGCATTTTTTTACGAATAATTTGATACCACACACTTGGTATTTTGAGTCAAATTTTCGTTACGAACCGCAAGTTATAATTTCAAATACACCATATGCGAAAATGTCAAAAGTTGACATATGATATGTCATTCTATTCAGAGTGTTACTTTCTTTCGAATAGAGTAAAAAAATACCGGGGGTGCCATTTGAAAATTAAAAGTTTTAATCATTTCCGGTGAAGCAGGAATAAGTGACTGAAAACAATAGAATACGTCAATCAATCCTAATTTATGTCATACACTCAAATCCTAATTTATGTCATACCAAATCTCAACTTTTTATCTGAAAAAATAAAAAAGTTATAGGGGTGAGCCACTTTTGAGACGCACCCGATATACCCTGCTGGCAAGCGAAACCTTGGGTCGTTTACATGTATAGGAGTGAATCGCTATGGCAATCTAGTAAGTCGGACAGAGCAAAAATACAAACTATTTATTACATAACAATTTAATCTGACGTTACATTCCATGCGCTTGGGAAAATACTTGCTTTCTGTCTTTATTCAGTACATCTTATTTTGCTAAGCGTATTGACCGTACTCTTCGTACACACGAAAATCGGTATCCAAAACCAGAAATGCCAGCCCTAGTATGTGTATCTGTATTTACTATGTTTATAGACCGATCTCCGTATATTTACAGGAGCATATCTGAACAATTTTTTCATGCATAAATTGATACAAAAACGAACTCCGTTCCCGTCATAAAAAAAATAACAATAAAGACGCACTCGAAGACGCATAAATTCCATAAAATCAGTTTCTTATTTACTGTGATTTTGCCTTCGTGATTGTCAAAATTGGTGTTAAATATGGCAAATTTTGATGTTTTGGGAAGACCAAACGGTGTTAGAAGGCGTTTAAATATTGAAGAAGTCATCAGAGGCCCGATTCTGTAAACATATTTCCTTCTAGTGACTCATCAATCGTATACAAATAGCATAGGCTAGACAGGAAATTTCTTGCTACGGAGCTTAAAGAATCCCACTGCAGAGCCACAGCTTTATTGTAGGAGGGTCGCATCAGTCGCAACGATACGTGTCGAAGCTTTTTCATGTTACACAATCGGTCATTTCCAGACTATGGAATTGACACAGAGAATATGGTTTTGTGGTCCGTAGACCATATCCTCAACGAGTAAGGCGGACAACGAGGCGGGAAGATAAGATCGGTATCTTGTTCAAGCCGCTCTTTGCGAAAGAACACTTACCGCATAAATCTACAAAATCTTCTTACGATCGCCACAGGAACTCGAATTTCAACTCAGACTATAAGAAATAGGCTGCATGAAGTTAACATTTGATCAAGGCGAGCAGCTGTTCTGCCGCATTTAACTGCTAATCATCGTAGGACACGAAGGATATTTGCTCAAAAACATCTTTACTGGGTCGTGGATCAGTGGAGGCACGATCTTTTTACGGACGAGTCCCGTTTTCGACTAAGTTATAATGATACTCGGCGGAGAGTATACAGAAGACCGAATGAACGGTATCTGGACATAACAGTCAGAGAAGCAATTCATTTTGGTGGAGGTTCCGTCATGGTATGGTGAGTAAATGGGCGTACGGACGTGCATGTCTTTCTAGATGGCATAATTAATGCTGAACGATACAAAGATGAGATTCTTGAACCATATGTTATTCTATTTGCTGCTCAGCATGGTCCAGAATTAATCTTACAACAGGATAATGCCAGGCCTCATATTGGAAGAGTAGTTACTCGATACTTTGATGAGTCCAATATCACAATTATTGATTGGCCTGCTAATAGCCCTGATCTCAAACCTTTGGGACCTACTAAAGAGACTACAAAGTCGTCCACAAGCACCAGATCTTCAAACTTGAGAGAAAATCTTCGAGAGGAGTGGAACGCTTTTCCTCAAGAGATTATTCGGAGTCTCATTCAGTCTATGACAAGTCGGTGTGCAAAAGTGCGTAGAAACCGCGGAGAACACATACATTATTAGAAAAAATATTTTCGTTGCCAATTAAGATAAAAATTGTTTAGCATTGTTTTCGATATTGTAGTTATTCATAACGTAATAAAAATATAACTTTCAGCAGTTTGACAACTTTTTGTCCAAGTTTATATGGTTTGGCCAAGTTTATATGTTTAAATAAATATATTTTCTTTGTTTAAACGAATTTTATCAAAGTGATCCCTAATTCGTCTTAACTATATTTTTTACGAACTGTGTTTAAAAACAGTTTTAGAATCACAGATCCTTAAATATCAACCCGTTTCTGTTTGGAATCATTATTACACTTAAGGCCAAATAGTTTTTGTTAAAACAATATGTTCTGTTATTTTTTAATTTAGTGAGGCACATATGGCCGGCCGTAGTGCAAGCAGTAGTGTGCTGATTTGCGATGCGAGAGATGGGATGGTACTGGGTTCGATCCTCGGCCAGTACGGTCGCTTTATTTATTTGAATAAAAATATTGACTTATCTAAATAGAGCGACCAGCGAGCCGCCATGCGCCACCTCAAGGAAAGCAATGGCAAACCACCTTGAGTATATTTGCCTTGTACAGCCTCTCAGATAGTGCCGTTCGGATTCGGCGATAAACTGTAGGTCCCGTGTACTTGTGAAACACTAATGACACACATCACAAGTACATGCGAGAGGTAGCCGACGCTCTGTATAGAGTATGGCACTGTAAGAAGAGGCACATATTATTTATTGTTATTATTTTGATGTCCAGTAGTAGAAATTACTAATTCATTAATTTATTATTACAGGTATTGAATATGGAGGATGATATGAACTGGTACAGAGCAGAGTTAGATGGACGCGAGGGATTAATTCCTAGTAATTATATTGAAATGAAACCCCACGAGTAAGTTTGTTTCAAAACTAAATACTTATCTTTATTTAAAATATTTTATATTTTCTTTCGCAGATGGTACTACGGAAAAATTTCTAGAGCGGATGCGGAAAAACTACTGTTAAATAAACACGAGGGAGCATTTTTGATAAGAATTAGTGAGTCTAGTCCAGGAGACTTTTCATTATCAGTAAAGTAGGTTTATTAATATTTTTTTTTGATACCTAAAGGCATTTGTTAAGTTGCCTTTATTTTTCCCGTTATTTGATTTTTGCTATTCCAGATGTGCAGATGGTGTGCAACATTTTAAAGTCCTGCGCGATGCCCAAGGAAAATTCTTTTTATGGGTGGTTAAATTTAATTCACTGAACGAACTCGTCGAATACCATAGAACGTCTTCAGTGTCGAGGTCGCAAGACGTAAAACTGAGAGATATGGTTGTAGAAGAAGTAAGACCAATTAGTACTTATATATGTAACGGATTCTATACTCGTTATATTTCAGTATTTAGTACAAGCATTGTACGATTTTACGCCACAAGAGGTTGGAGAATTAGAATTTAACAGAGGCGATGTTATCACCGTTACAGGTAATAATTATTATTTTGACTGCCAACCTGTTTTTTAGTAATTAACTTTGAATAAGAAGACTAAGTGTGCGAACACAGTGCAAGCAGGTTTGCCGCTTACTGGTAGTCAGCGCCAATCTGGGCACCTATTCTTGACATCGTTCGCAACTTTGCTTATACGCATCACGTGTATTGTTTAAACAAGGTATCCCAGAAATAAGTGCAAGTATTTTAAAGGGTGATAAATCTCGATAAAAAAAAACATATTTTCTCTTTATCGTTTTTCAAATAAGTCCAAAATAACGGAGTTATTTACTTTGAAAATTTCCAAAAAAATGATTTTTTGCTAAAATTTTGAGTCACTGGATCTTTCACTGGATCTTTTCTGGATTTTCTTTCTTGCAACTTTAATCTACTACCTATGTTGCCATATTATCAAGAAATTATTTTTTTTAAATAAAAACTAAAAAAAATTCCAAAAAAAAATTCAAAAAATTCGGAATTTTCAAAAAAAAATTATTTAGAAAAAAACCTCATAGGCATGTTTCTGGGGTTGAACTATACTACCAGTTAAGTTAAAATACTTGCACTTATTTCTGGGACACCCTGTATATGGGTACATCGTAGCGCCGCGCCGCGCCGCCTCGCGCTTATAACCTTGAAAAATTAAAGCGTGTTATCAAATCGGCTAGTTCACAGTGAAAGCAGGCAGATGGCAGGCAGGCACCGTCAACCAGCGTTCATCGGCGTTCTCGCTTTTACCGGAACGAAAATTTATTTATTTCTGCTTTTGCACGCGCCGACGGCGCACAGAGGGTAATAAGAACTAAAAGTTGGCCAAAATTTTGTTTTATGATTTTTTGCTTTTGCTAGTAATATTAATTATTAATTAGAGGAGAGGTTGCTAATATGGAACCCCATTTTGTTTTTCCTACACAATATTTTTTCCTCTACTCTGAAACCCTTTCCACCGATCAAATAGGGCCATTCTGTGCAAAACCAAGCAATTGGATGAGGATGCTAGAACAAGAAAGTAATTTGTATACTATAGACGATATTTGAGCGAGGATGGGTGTTATAGGGAAACTCTTTTCCTTAAGAATCTATTTAAATCAATGTTTTTTTTGGCAGTGGCAAATATTGGCAAGATTTTTGTACATATTCCAAAGCTGGAGACTTTAAGCATTGAACGGATACTAATTTCCATGCGGAATATTGCCGAATAGTCTTACACCTTATAAAAATGCCTCTGATTTTTTAAATATAAAACATTATAAAGAAATAGAATAGAAGGAAACGTTTCAAAATAAAAATATGGCATAAAACAGGACTTGCCAGCTGGCTCTGTATCCATGATGACAGTTATTATAAACAATTTGCAAAAAAGCACTACAAACAATTCCACTATTTTATAATCTTAGAAATATTCAGAATACACTCAAGATAATTCATACTTATAATTGAAATATATTATTTATTTGATAGTCAACTTACGACTTAAAAAAAGCTAATAAACGCGCTTACATTTAGTATTTATAGATTTGTATTCAGTTAAGATAAAAAATGAAAATAAAAATATTTCACTTTTGGCCAGGTTTATAGACCAAATACCCCTATGTGCGGCGCCGGCGCGGCGGGAGCGACGTTTGAATATGGTTAGGTTAGGTTAGGTTAGTTAATCAGGTAAATTTCCTCTTAATTAACTTCTTCCGAACCCTGCTCGCATCTCCGAAGAAGCCATATAACAATACACGGCATATACGCAAAGTTATGCATCACGTGTATTGTTATATGGCTTTTTCGGAGATGCGAGATGTGAGCGATATGTGGTCAAGAATAGGTCCCCAGAGACGGCGCTGGCTGCCGGAAAGCAGAAACCTGCCTCCACTATGTTCGTACCCTAAGGAAAGAGCATAATGCTATCCATGTATTCATGCATGGTGGGCGGAAAAAGGACTCTAGGGTGGGGATCCTCTTCAGATTCATTTGACACATTTGAATTTGATTTGAAATTTTGTTGATTTGTCAGTCTTTACGGAGTCTTAAAGGTAGTAAATCTAGATGGAAATTGTGGCAGAACTTAAATTAACAGTAACACTATCGCGATTTATCGAAAAAGACTGAAATAGTTGGTTGTGTAGCGTGCGGTAGATCTCGGCAAAAATCGAGTGAAATAATGGAACAACTTTTCGCTAGTAAGTGACTATATAATATACATACGTGCAGTAAACCGATCATTTATGAAATTCACTTAAATTAACTAAGTATATATTTTTTCTTGCATTTTTGCTTTTATTTACTACTTGTCAAAGAATTTAGATACGTCACTTTGACTTACCTGGTTCAGTAGCGTATCGGATGTTTGTGTTAATAAATACTTATTATAATTATTATAACTTATCTATTTTTATTAGAATTTTATATTTTTATAACAATTTTAATAACTACCAACATTTATTCACAAAGTAAAATAAAAAAAATTATTGAGTCTACCCCACGTCTACCCTACATCATAGTTTTACATTTTTTAAATAAAATTAGAACGGCACTGATAAACCGGAATTTAAGTCGGCCAAATTTGAGGCCTATCGCGGTGAACCTAAGATTTTTGATATATGCTCCTTCCTTAGTCTTCCTATTCAAAGGTAATTAACACATTACAAAAATTATGATTATTGTATTGTTCCCAGTAATTAGTATACCGTGTGGTGCATCGGAACATGGGACATATTAAATCTCATATAAATTTTGAAAAGGTCAAATATTATCTCCCTATATTAATTTTATGCAAAAATTGTATAAGACTTTTGAAGAGGCGTTAAAGTTGTACTTTTGTCTAGAAGTCCGTTTCATTTGAAAACGGCATTTAAAAGTTATTTGGGAAAATCTACCTTCAAATTAGTAAAATTTTTAATTCATAATTTGACAATGACAAAATCACATTTTTGCTGGTATTTTAATTGTAGCTTTCTCTGTGCCGTATTATAAATTTTACTAATTTAAAGGTAGATTTTTCCAAATAACTTTTACTTTAACGCCTTTTCAAAAAAGTCTTATACAATTTTTGCATAAATTACGTTTTGAAATATGTTCCGTTTCGTAACTAATTAAGAAATAAAGTAATCGCAATACAATTTCCGATGCACGTGATCAACTTTGAGTGACAAGCGATGGTGACAGCGCTGCCAGACTGTGATGGATTTATTCAAGCTGAATCTTAATGCAAAAATTGGACAACAATATATTTATTATATAATTTTTTAAAGATTTTTACGTTTTATTTTTAATTTACTAATTATTATTTTAGTAATTAATTTATGGCAGTAGTCACAAACACTTACAATAGAAATATTTAAATTTAAGGCAGCAGCTACTTGCTACAAATTTAAATAAGTAGAAATCTTTCAAAATGGTATAATGTGCTTGCCAATCAAACTTATTTCTCTGACTGCAGTCAAGGGCATTAAAGGAACTTTATTGTCACGTTCTCGTTCAAAATAGTTTATCAGGAAAGCTACAAGCTCTTCGACTGTTTAAATGCTTCGGCATATTTTCAACAAACAATTTCAAGAAATGCTATACAAAAACTCGAAAATTTAGTTATTAAAAGAATTATTTGTGCTTAACAGTACAATTTTTAAAAAAAGACTAAGAAAATCGAAGTATTATTATTGAGAATTACTCCCAAAGATTCAACAACACGATATTATACAAAATAATGACTGACATTATGGTAATTGTCAAATAATAAACTACAACCACGGCATATAAATCACACGGCAGGCCGACTCGCTTTGGCGGGAACGCTACGCGCATATCCTTGCGCACGCCGCCATTATGGGTGCCAGCAACAGAAATTAACCAGTGTGGTAGTCAGTCGTAGTTTTTGTTATCGACAACATACAGTTACGGCAGCTTTGAGTCAGTAGCGTGCAGCTTAATTTATTTCATTCTTTTCTTGAGTGATATATTTTGTTTTTTTTAGTTTTATTTTCGTTACTTGAATGTTATATTTTGTTTTTGTAGGTTTATTTTTGTTTTTCTGAACATTTTTAATATAATAGTGGTTTGGTAGTGTATTATACCGTATGATCGAGAAAAAACGGCGTCCAGTTGGCTGGGAAATGAAGATCGCTGTCATTTTATATGGGAAATGTCATCGATCGTCATTTCCCAGCCAACTGGACGCCATTTTTTTTCGATCATACGGTATATTATATCACTTATTAATAAAATATTGTTCATACCAATTTTTAAGTTTAATAATTGCGTCAAATACAATTTCCTTCAAATGTTTACCTGTGCAAGTAGCGTGATAAAAAAAATAAGCTAGGGATTGCTGCTAATTGGTAAAGATACCACTTACCATAACAACATTAGACACCCGAGCTGGTTTAAACTCTCTGTTCCCCTTCTCCTGGTCCTCAAAACTCACAATATTATCACTTATCACGATCGCTATTATAAAATAAGTTGAACTTGATATTCATATCATCAATACGTAGAACACGATATCGATTAAGTTCATCCGGTTCATCGAAACTTTCAACTTTGCTTTTTAGAGTCTCAAATACACTAAGATTTTCTAAGCCAGGTTTGATATCGCTGTCATATATTCATTTTCTTACTATCTCTGTGGAAGGCAAAATAGATTTGTCAAGAGCGTCTTGTATATTTTTGGCCGGGAAAAGTATATCTCCAGACATTTATATTTAAATTCATCAGTTTCTTCCTTTAGCTGATTTGCTAATTAGCGAAATTTGAATATTAACAAAATTTGCTACGTCCATTGATGGACATAATTTGTACGTAGCCTCTTTATATTGTTCAACAGATATTTCATTGGGTATTTTTTTAATTCTTGTTTGTAACTCCTGGCATTGTTTTTAGTTTTAATTGTCTATTCTCTACAGTTAAATGGTTAATTAATTTTATCATTTTTACTTTTCGAGGAGTATGCGCGGTTTACGATTCATTTGTTTAGATAAAAGTGTTGTGTAAATAAAATTCAGTTTCAGTCAATTACAGTATTTTTTTTAATACGACCCTGTCTATTAATAGTTTATTTTCTGGGAAATTTTTTGATGCGTTTTAATCCGACCCTGACTGAGCACCCATAATGGTGTTTTCAAGGTCAAATTTTATAGAAATTTTAAACAATGGAATCTGGGCAGAGTTAGCCTGCCGTGCTACAACGTTGCTGATCGCAGTGCAATGTGACCAACATGGCGATAATAAAAATCGCTTTAAACTAATGTATGCAGCTTTAATCTATACCGGGTGCATCTCAAAAGTGACTCACCCCTATAAATTTTTTATTTTTTCAAATAAAAAAAAACGAGATTTGGTATGTTAGTATATGACATAAATTAGGATTGATTGCCGCATTCAGTTGTTTTAGGTCACTTCCGGTTTCACAGGAAATGACTACAACTTTCGGTTATCAAATGGCACCTTCGGTATTTTGTTACTTTATTCGGTTTTAAAATTCAATCTAGAGTGCAAGAAGCATTTTTTACGAATAATTTGATACCACACACTTGGTATTTCGAGTCAAATTTTCCTTACGAACCGCAAGTTATAATTTCAAATAAACCATTCAGAAAATGTCAAAAGTTGACATATGATATATTATTCTATTCAGAGTGTTATTTTCTATCGAATGAAGTAAAAAAATACAGAGGTTGCCATTTAAAAGTCAAAAGTTGTAGTCATTTCCGGTGAAACAGGAAGTGACCAAAAACAATTGAATACGTCAATTAATCTTAATTTATGTCATATACTAACATACCAAATCTAGCTTTTTATCTGAAAAAATAAAGAAGTTATAGGGGTGACCCACTTTTGAGACGCATCCGGTATATAAAATATCTGTTACAATCATTGGCTCTGTAAAGTAAACGAAGAGCTGCTCGGTATCTTAAATTATACAACAAATTTAAACATTTTTGACAAAATTTCATTTTATCAGTTTTATAGGGTTTAGTGTCAATTTTGATATGATTGATAACGTGCATCGGAAATTGTTTTGCGATTACCGTATTTTTCTTTTCACAACTATTAATTAAATAAACGATTCGTCAATAGCAAAAAACAAAAAAGAAGCAATTTTAGGTCATTTTTACAACGTATATAATTAAAAAAATATAGCATAAAGTTGATACCCCTTTATATTAGGCATAGCTTCAGGAATAAAAGTTTACTACACAGTTACCATTAAATATATATTCTTATGGCCCTGTATTTACTTATGAGCACCAGTCAAGGTAAAAGATAACAGTCAAATGAAGTTGTTATTTCAAAAATTTATCTATTTAGTGCTTTATTATTATTAAAAACTCATACCTACATCGAAAATATTAGCCATGAATTACACTACCGAAGAAAAAGTATTGATGATTAAATGGTATTTTCAAGGAAATAGTTATCAAAAGGTGTCGTACATGTTTGCTGCTCTGTATCCGAATAGACCGATACCTGGAAAATCTACAATCGCAAGGAATATGCAGAGATTTGAGACCAAAGTACCCTAATAAATAACTGCAGATGTGAAGCAAGGCAGGAACAAAGAGAAGATGCAAGAATTGGGCCTCGGTGAACTATCCTGACACACGATTTTCCTTAGAAAATGAAGTTTATGTCACCTTAAAATGAACTTCTTGGATTCTTTGACTAAAATCTGATGCGGAAAAACACGTTTTACATAAAAAAACGTTCTTAAAAATGTTGTTATTTTATTTTTATAGCAAATTCCTGGACAAATTTCAAAACCGATAATGAAAGAGGCGCGGACTTGTTTATATCCGTTTCTATGTTTACGCTGTCAGTAGTGAAGGTCGAGTTTTGACAAATATTGCGAATTGATACATGGTTGTCAGATGAGCTATTAATTATCCGGAATTTCATGCATCTTTTTTTTTAGGGAAAAAATGACGTCATAGGTTTTAAAATGTTTTTTTTAATACGAATTAAATTATTTTAGTTTATCAAATTGGTTCTAGCAATAAAAACACGCAGTAAGCTGTAACCCACCAAAGCAAAGAAAACTCGCTGTAAGCGTGTTTTCATTTCTTTGGTTTGTGTTTGGCTCGGGTTGAGTTGGTTTGGTTTGGTTTGGTTTTGTATTGGTTGGTTTTGTATGGGTTGGTTAGGGTTTGATCGGGTTGGTTTGGCTGTTTTTTTCCTTTTTATCTGTTTGATTGATATTTTGGTTTAAAAAACCCCGTGTTTTGGTTGCTTTTGTTTCACTCTTTTGTTGTTTTTTTTAGTTTTCCCTTTCACACATTACCAACGCATTTTTATTACTAAAAATTGCTATTTTTTCAAAATTAAAATAAAAAACAGAAAAAGAGAATTCAGTGGAACTGGCAACATTGCTTTCCCTTTTGTCGCTGTCCTGTTAAATCAAGTGTTAAAATTCTCCATAACGTCAAATATGTGTCAAAAACTACTAAAATTAAATTAAAATATTTTAAAATTCTGTGCGTAATCTCCATTTATTTTTATTTAAAACTACTACTAAAAATGGTTACTTTTTGATAAAAAAAAAGAAAAATGCAAAAATCATGTGTCAAGAGAGTTCACCGGACCCCAAGAAATGATACCGACTTGGAAGTTTTATTGTGCGTGGAAGAGAACGATGGAAAGATCAGCACAAGGAAACTTGAGGATGAAATAGGAATAGATCACACTACAGCGTTTCGAATTTTGAAACTACATAAATACTATTCCTTCAAATATGAAAAGCTCCAAGAGAATTTTTAAAAAACATATGTTTCACTGACGAATGCACGTTTACCTTAAATAATGAACCCAATGTTCAAAATTATCGATATTGAAACATTAGAAAACCAACACAGGTTTGTTGAAACAAGGACGCAATATCCACAGAAAGTAAATGTTTGGGCAGGGATATTCGGACACAATATTATCGGGCCATTATTTCTTACGCGAAATTTAAATGCAGAATATTATTTAGAACTACTCGAAAATCATATTTCACCTGCTTTACATGATGCCGCTAGGGAAAATCAGGAAGTTTGGTACCAAATGGATGGCTGCCCGGCACATAGTACCCTGGCTGTTCGGGAATATTTAGACAATAGGTTTAACGGAAACGTTATTGGCCTAAATCATACAGTAAGTTGGCCAGCAAGGTCTCCTGATATTTCGCCAAATGATTTCTTTCTTGATCTCCGGGGCCATTTAAAAACAGGATATACAAGGATAAAAATACCCAAATCTAGACGAGTTAAAAAATGCTATTTCTGCCGAATGCAATAGAATTTCAGTTTACCAACTAGCGAATGTAAGAAGAGAATTTTATGATCGCCTGGGTAATTGTCTAGCAGTCGATGGGGGAATATCTGAACATCTTCTTAAATCCTAAAGTTCTAATAATTTAATAGTACCTAAATTAATAAGTTATTGAATATTGTAATAATACTATAATTAACCTTGTAATTGATTACTTTATTTTACTTTAATTCATATTAATTTGTATTTATAAATATATCTTTAAGATTTTCGATGTAGGAATGAGTTTTCAATAATAATAAAGCACTAAGTAGGTAAATTTCTGAAATGACAACTTCATTTGACAGTTATCTTTTACCTTGACTGGTGCTCATAACTAAATACAGGGCCATAAGAAAGGAGAAATATTTAAAAAGAAATCGGCGATAACTCGTAAACGAGCTAATCAAAAATACCTAAAGTTATTTTTTTGAATGTGGGTTTTAGTGCTCTTCAATAAACCTAAATAAGAATTATTCTCTAAAATAATTAGGGAAGTCAATAATTGACCCCATTAAAATTTACATGGGATTTCCTATGTCCCGTCCGACGATGCAATACCCGGTACCTTGCATGCATCGACTCTTATGTTTCATGATGCAAGTAGCAGTTTGTGTAGTAATGAATCACGTATTTGGCATCAGTTGCAAATTGCAGCGATGCCGAGTCTGGAATCCCATTTTGGTCGGCGAGCCACGATGCCGAGTTATGTTTCATGATGCAAGTAGCAGTTTGTGTAGTAATGAATCACGTATTTGGCATCAGTTGCAAATTGCAGCGATGCCGAGTCTGGAATCCCATTTTGGTCGGCGAGCCACGATGCCGAGTCGGTGATGCTGATACAAGTTTCAGCGTGTATAGAATTGCGTCGATGCGATAACGATATTATTAATTTTTCCCGCCATTTTAGACGTTTGTTGTTTGTATGTAAATTCGATGATGGAAGGGGAAGGATCGACAATTTTGGGAAGAGTTCATAAATATTTATCATCTGCATAAGTGTCTTTGGAATACAAAGGCTAAAGAGTATTCAGATAGAAATATAAGAAACCAAGCATATTAGTCAAGCATACAAGTCAAGCAAATAATAACGCACTAGCTTTGAAAATAACTTCACTACGGTTTTTGTGTTGCATGAAATATCGAGTCGATTCAGGCATCGCAACAGGTTGCGGTTTGAGTAGGCACCTATGCAACTGATGCAAATTTTATGAAACTTTGAGTCGATGCATGCATCGCAGTTTACATCAAGGTGTATAGGCCGCTTTTTAGATATGCTCCTTCCTTAATCTTTTTATTCAAAGATTTATTAGAAATTTTATTTGTCACAAAAATGTTCAAAATCAGTTGAACTAGTAACTTAATATTAAATATTGTTTCTAGACCGTTCTGATCAACATTGGTGGCATGGAGAAATAGGACATCGCCGAGGCCTCTTTCCTGCCACGTACGTTACGTCCTATCACACGTAAATACAAGTAAACGATGTCAAGTTTACAGTTAACAAAATACGCACCATACGAGAACTACATTATTTGGTAGACCCGTCACAATTAAACCAATTATTAAAATCGAAATTAAGAAAAACTTGACTATACAAAACATTTTTTTTTGTATTTGCCATTTAAAGAAGCATGTTCTTCGATATTTTAATTTGTTTTTGTAATTTGTATGTAATGAAAGTGTTAGGAAGTGTCTTATTAAAACCATATATTTTATTTGATTGATTACTGTTACTGGTATGTATTTTTATATTAAGTAAGTTTTGAAATTTATATGTTTTTCGTTAGAAGTGAAAATGTTTTTCTTTTAATTTTACTTAATACATTGTATCCTGTGAGATAGATGAGTGAACAAATTGGTTTCATGCACACTATAGTATGTTCAACGGGAGGATCCCTTTCGTTGACAGTTGTGCCTATCATTTTAATTCACAGGCAAATTGCATTTCCTGTCATTTTTTCCCCGACTCGTTGGACAGACTATAGTAGTTGATTGATGGTAATGATTTTTTTTTAATTGCTCACTCACGATATTATAATTATAACTTGGCAGAGATTTATTTTAGCTCAAACTGTGTTTTTGAAATTAGAAAGATTTTGTATAAAATATTTCAATAGTAAGAGTAGGTCGAGGATCTTAATTTTAAGTATTTTCTTCATATACAGGGTGGTACTATTTTTAATGGAAAACTTTAATAGATCATAATATGAAGCTATATTTAGCTTCATTATTGAGCTGAAAACTTTTTTTTAATATCTATTTTTTCTCATTTTAATCAGACCACCCTATATATTTATATATAAATACTTTTATGCAATGTTATATTAACTTTCCAGTTGTATCAACAAACATTTTTAGAAATCTTATTGGATAGTTTTTCTTTGTTAAGCAAAAATTTACGTTTACTAGTACCATACGATCGAAAAATGACTTAGTTGATTTTGAATGAAGATCAGTCATTTTATACCGAGTGTTGCATCGTCCTTGGAAACATAGGAAATCACATGCAAATTTTGAACTGTCCAAATATTGGCTCCCCTATTAATTTTACAGCTATGTCGTAAATATATTTTTTAAAGGTCTGCCTATGATGTAGCCTATTTCTTATGCCAAATTTGAACAATTTTGGTCAACCGGTTTTAAGTAATGTAAGAAAAACTGCGTCTATTTTTAAATTAAAACTAAACAGGTAACAATGCAGAACCAGTCAATGGTCAACATACCTTAAGTCGTCAATCTATGATTTTATAATTGTCAAATGTAACTTATTGTGCCGTCTACGCTACTACATTATAGTACCTACGCTTAGTGCCCCCGAAATGTGTTTTTGTATTTTAAAACTGGTTCGAATGAGGTAAAAGCCTAATGTTTAGAAGAATACAATTTGACATTGACAAAATTATAGGATGGCAACTTGAGGTATTCAGTTTTAATTTAAAACCAGATGCAGTTTTTCTTAAATTACTTAAAATCGGCTTGTCCAAAATTGTTTAAATTTGGATAGGTTAGGTTAGTGTTATGCTGAACACACATTCAGCATACACAGACCTTTAAAAAGTCTGTTTACAACTTTGCTGTAAAATTAACAGGAGAGCCAATATCTGGACAATTCAAAATTTGCATAAGATATCCAAGTTTCCAACGACGATGAAACCAATGACCTAACCACCCGGTATTTATAATTATATGAGGAATATCATCGATCGTCATTTTGAACCAACTTTACGCCGATTATTTTAGTTCTTTCATATGGTATACACTACACAACTATAGTCTGTCCAACGAGAGGATACGTGACAGTGACAGTTGTCACAGGTAAATAGTATTTTCTGTCATTTTTTCAATATCGTCTGTTGAAATATTTCCTGAATCGTTGGGCTGACTCTACTTCTGCGGTAGTATGAATTTCAGTGACTCGCAGATACCACCTATGAGCATGTAAACATACTTGTATGCATCTTGTACTTGCTAGTTGACATGTACACAAACCACTTGTGGGAAAAGTAGGCTTTATTAAAAGATAGCATGATTTATATTATGAATTATTAGCAATTTTATATGATAAGTTATTCAGTAGATGGATTGGTTCTGAATAATTTTGGTGCTATTTTTTTCATGATGTAAACTTTATTGAATCAATATTTTCAGAATATGCTGATTGAAACGTTCCCATTATCAATAATGATTATATTGATATCCGTATAAAATAGTCATTATAGATAATATCAATATTTCATTACATTGCCCAATATTCTCGGATATTATTTAGCATTATTTTGTTATTTTTCTTTATTGATTATTTTACAGATCATATTTATAAATAATGAATCAAGAATACATATAATTTTTAGTATAGAGTGATATAAATTCTAGCAGTTTGGTCAACCATTTTTGTTGCCATAGAGTTCCATAGTTTAGTAAGAATAAAAAATAAATTTAAATTGCTCGTTTTTATTTGGATATTTTGTAAAAAATTTAATTTGTTTTTTAATCTTACTAATGATGTGTTAAATAAGTAAGCTTTTACCACTTTAGATATATAAAAGATGTGTTTCAAAAAGTTGGAAATTTGCTCTAATATTTATCAATGACCTATAAATATTCAATTTTACTTTATCATCCTCACTAATGGAGTAGGAAAAATCTGATTTTTTGAGGCTGTAAATAGATTTTAGCAAAATATAATTAAGGTACTGCCTGAAAACGCAACACCAAAAGTAAACAAATTTAAGCTACCTATTTAAAAATGTCAGTATATTTAATTCGTTTTCTGTTGTTTCTATAACACAAATTTAAAATGGTATAGCTTTTTTATTTTTTATTTAAAATTGTATATACTAACGTAGGATATAAATTTTATCGCAGATTTAAGTGCAAAATATTTAGATATAAATATATGTTATAAGCTGTATGTTTGTTTTGTTTTATTTACTTTTACTAAATATAAATCTATAATATATCAACTACACTGACTGTTCTCTTTTTCAACATACGAAAGGCAATCTGTATGGAAACTCTTGTGCTGTTCTATGGCAAGGGTGTAATATTTATTGACACGCACTGCTCATTCACGGCGGTTCCGGGCCGGATGAGATCAGATATCTCGTTGGCAAGAGTCGATTTAGACACTCGGCCAATCGGTAGGCTATTGACAATGATATGACCGAGGACCGCCGCGCCGTTCGGATTCCTCCTAATCAAAGGCCCTCTCAAGAACAGTGACTTAGCAGCAAAGAGGAGACACTCAAAATACTTTACCAGAGTAAGTGGAACGACGAGTAGCGACCGAAAAAGTCTTCGGCTCTTTTGATGTGGTGGGACCAAATTTTCTTTCCCTCTCTTTTGACGTGTTTGGTTTGGTTTGGTTTGAAGTGGAATTAAGTATTGATAATATCTTTTGGAATATAATGATATAATTAATAAGAATATCATAAAATATCTTACAGCTAATAATAATTAAAAAAAAAATATTTAGGAAAATTCTTTGGCTGATGCGTAAGTACTTGAAGTAGAGTACGTATATAGACATACTTGATAAATGGCAACAGTGGCAACTTCGCTTCTTCATATGACAGATAGACTACATATTTCGCGCAGCCGCCAAGAAAATTGAAAACGGACTGTCGCTACTCGTCGGTTTACGTACTCTGACTTTACTGCAACAAAATCTGCGCGATTTGTTTGCGCATCTTTAATTTAAATGCTTATTTATTGTTTGACAGCCTCTTTAGTTTGCTGATGTAAGCGGGGTCGCACACTGGATCCACAGACAATCGGTGTTCCATTCGTAGCCGACTTCATCACCTGTAAGCCTATGTAAGGGTGCAGCTATATTGGCAAATCCCTTGACAAATCTCCTGTAATAGGTGCATAAACCCAGAAAACTTCTAAGTTCATGCTTGTCGCGAGGTTTAGGCCAATCCTTGATTGCAGCGATTTTCTTCTGGTCGGTGTAAATTCCGTCAGCCGAGACTACATGGCCCAAGAATTCCACTTGTCGCTGGAATAAGCTACACTTCTTCGGGTTCAAGTACAGGTGAGCATTCCGTATGCGGCCGCAGACTTCTTCTAAATTTCGCAAATGCTCATCAAAAGTTCTTCCCATAACCAATACATCGTCGAGGTAAACCAAGCACGTTTTCCAATACATCGTCGAGGTAAACCAAGCACGTTTTCCAAGTTAATCCTCTTAACACCACCTCCATGAGACGTTCGTAAGTGGCTGGAGCATTGCATAATCCAAACGGCATGATCTTGAATTGGTATAGGCCGCTTCCTGTAGAAAAAGCCGTCTTTTCTTTATCGTCCTCGTCCAGACCAACTTGCCAGTATCTACTCTTTAAGTCGAGAGTGGAGAACCAGCACGAACCTGCCAGAGTTGTTAATGTGTCATCTAAACGTTACAGTGGGTAGCTATCCTTCTTAGTGACGTCATTGAGCTTCCTGTAGTCCACGCAGAATCGTGTACTACCATCTTTCTTCGTCACCAAAACAACAGGAGATGACCATGGACTTGACGATTCTTCGATTACTCCATCTTCTAACATCTTATCTACCATTGTCCCCATTTCTTGTTGTTTGGAAAGGTAGACCCTTCTAGGACGTTGTCGAATCGGCTGAGCATGACCAGTATTAATCCGGTGCTTCACAAAATCCGTTCTTCCACTGCTGTTCTTCTCAAAAATACTGCCATGCTTTAGCAGGAACTGCTTAGCCTTCTGTTTTTCCTCGTTTGATCTAAGGTTTGATCCCATGGCTGTTCTAGATGTTTTAGTGTTTCTTGGGATGCCTTTTGTGTAACAGCTGACGACACTTCATCACATCGGGTGACACTTCTTACAGGTTCGCAGATGGCTATCTTGTCACCCTTTTGGATCTTGACACAATTCGGGAAAAACATTCGCAATAGGCTTGTTCCATCATATCCTATTTGTATGTTTTTTAAACGTTTTTGGATACTACTTATTATAATAAGTGCACTATTAAAATTTCAAAACGAAATCTTTTACCGTTTTCGAGATATGAGAGCTTAAAGTTTGTAACGGCTAGACGAGGCCACGCCCCCTCGTGACGTAGTTCCACTACACCCGACTTCGGCCGTCAATCAGTTCGTAATGGAAACACTCATTTGAATTAATGTGATTTGTCATTTTATCGTTATTTAGACTATTTCGTTGGTTTATTTTCACAAGATGCATTCGGTAGGAGAAGGGTTCAATAAAGCTGATTCGGGCAATCTCCCAGAAGTGGACATTTTTATGATAATGAATTATTTTAATAAAAATAAGGAATTTATTAGTTCAGAAATGAAGGAAATAAAGTTACAAAGGTACCTAAGTAAACCTTTTAATTTCTATTATATTTTCCTTCTAAGATATTTTCTATTGCTTAAATACCTATATCTGTATCGGAAAGCAGTGGCGGCTCGCTAGGGTAAAAAAACAAAGGGTTATTTACCCTATATGAAAGAAGGCAACCTATGCATTTTCTTAACTAACCTATGCAATCTTCTTCTATTTGTAACATTAATACAATTAATTAGCATTTTGAGGCTTTTCGGCTAATTATTGAATTAACAATTGTTTATTGTTTATATTAATAATATAATTAAGTTAGAATATGAATATAATTAATATTGAATTAATACATAATAATTGTACAAGTAAATAAGAGACTTTCCTCAAATATATATTTTTTTGTTTCCTTTAATGACTAAAGTAAATTTTAAAGCGCTAGTACCTTAAAGTAATATTATTATATATCGGAGTGTGGGGAAAAACATTTTAACACGCTTGTAGAAAAATATTTTTAATTATTTTTGAAATATTTTAAATTTTAAAAATTTTAATTTAAAAAAAAACAAAAATATATTAATTTTGATCAATTATTTATAAATATTCTCGCCAAAAATTCTCGAAGCAGAAAAAATCAGTGGTTTCATATATAGATGACAAATACTGAATTGATTTTAAGATATGTGATTGACTAGGGCTAGTTCGAGGTTGGTCCGCGAAAAGACGTAATACAATAAATATATAGAAAAATATTTCTACTTTAAGGTAAAAACTGATACGTAAGCTATGTACTTTTTTCTTACAGATCCGGCAGACAAAATTACGGTAATAATGCCATTGGATAATATGTGAAGTTAAAACATCAGCGATTACTATGACAAGTAGTGGCAAAAATTACACCGGAGCACAAAATTAATGCAAAAAATTATAATGTACAATGCATTATTATATCCATATATTTTTTTTACTTTTTCTGGGGTATGAGGGTTTTTTTAATAAATCGAAAGATTTTTTTTATGCGTCGTTTCGCTCCAACATAGTGGGCTTTATCAGGCACTTTATTCTTGAAGTCGTCTTGCTAGCACCAGTCTGTATAAATTAGTGTGATGACTGTGTTTTTTTACCCAAGAAAAAGTAAAAAAAATATATGGATATTATCTGAATGTGTAAGAAGTAAGAAACAATTAAAGCATTATTATAAATACTAGTAGAAAAAGTGAATAGAAGCAAAGTGTAATGACTGTGCCGCATCCGAACGTGCAAGCACGCGGTAGCATTTCTTATGTGGCTGCATAAATTTGATGGTTTGAAATGCGCTCCTCTTGATTTCTCTTGATCATGCATTTTAAGATCCTTGTCTACTGTATTGGCCCCGAAATGAAAGTTTTCATTTGCCTCTTGCCTCGCGTCTTTTAATATTTCCTTAATAATGGCTGCTTGTTTTCTTTTTTTCGCCAATCCTCGAGGCTTTACAGTATTTGAAGCAGAAGATCGTTTTTTTGGCACTCAAAAATGTAAGGAATAACACCTGATTTTAATTTTATTCTTCCCGATTTCATAGTTTTTAAGTGTACATATATGTAATTTTCTGTCTTCTTCAACCTATATTAAAAAAAAAATAGGAAACACTACTTGTAAGTATTAACTTATATCAAAGTGATCTTCACAACAAAATCTGGTGCCTCTGTCAGGGACAAAATCATGTCTTCGCATTGCATGCTGCCATGCTCGTCTTAACTTTATGTCGGACGGTAAAGAAATAAATAGTTTTTCTGGGGAATTTTTATTCGTATTTGTGCATTCTGGCACTACATAACGTTTCCTTGTCTTGTTTACACTAATATTGAATAAAAGAGAGACTTTAGTACTACACTACGTTATACTATAAATTTAAAACACACTTTCTGTAATCGGGCAAAGCAGACCTGTGCATTGTATCGAGCGCGGTCGCCAGTCGACCTGTGGTGCTATGACGTAGCAGCTGGCCACGCCCCTTTCTCGCACAATAGATGTTTGTACGTGTTTTTGAGGTACTAAACGTACGAATAAAATTCTAATTTTTGGTAGATCTGTTATTTTTTAGTTGTACTTTCGATTGGTAAAATAAAAAAAAATTGTGGAACAAGCCCATTCTGATCGGTATATTCTTGTCGGTATTCACCAATGATTTTCCTACTAAGTACCTATCTTGTTTCTTGTCGACACTTTGTACCAGTCCAACATAGCACCCAGCGATTTTCTCCACTTTACCGAATATGATCTTCTCGGTATTACCAGGTATCACCACAGTTTCCGCTGATCTTACATCCATTCTTCCTGGTCCCTCGTCTGGAGATAACATAAACTCTTCATTTCCGATATTCAGGATATTTCTCTGGTGATCGAACGAAAATCGATGTTGACGAATCACATCCATGCCCAAGATGAAGTCATCTTCAATATCTGCCACTAAGACGCTATGCTGAAACTTCAAATTTCCTAACTTCAGTTCAACGATAGCCTCTCCCCGTACAACGGCCATTTCCCCCGTAACTGTACGTAAACACACTCTTCTTCCCAGAGGCATCAGCTTCAACGCTTGCACTGAGTTAGCTCGCACCAACGATACCATAGCGCCAGTGTCCACGGTCATTCGGATTCTCCTACCATTGACCTTCCCGTCGATCACTAAACTGTCAGCGGTTCTTCCCAGACTCCTAATGGAAAAAATCCTGGGGGCTCTGTTCTCCCTAGTCAATACTCGCCCCTTAGTATTGACTGATTTTAGTTTTCCTGGTGCCTACGTTCTCTGGATGGTGAACGGGATCGCATTTGGACGCGGCAATCCCGTTTGATGTGGCCATTCCTGCCACATCTATAGCACCTTATGTCCTGGAATCTTCTCTGGTTCTCTGTCTGGGTGTTGTTGACTCCTTTGTTTATTAGTAGCTCACATAGTTTGTCGACTTTCTTACACATCTCCTCCAAACCTCTGTGAGAACTTCCGGGCTGTTCCTCGACCGTTACAGATCTTATCTTCGGTCTAGTGATGGCGCTAAAAGCAGCTTCGATTTCCAGCGCCCTGACCAGTGCTTCGCTGCTGGTAGAAAATCGGGATATTTGCAGCGCCCTCTGCAATTCGTTGTCCCTTAGTCCGCTGATAAAGCACTGAGCAGCGAGTTCCTCCCTAAATCCTTCCGGTGCTTCTGGATATGCCAGGTGTACCACCCGACGTAAGTCTGCTTCGAATTCCTGCAGACTCTCTCCGGACCTCTGCAGGCGTGTCTTGATCTGGGCCTGGTAAAGTTGACGTCGATGTTGGTCGCCATATCTTCTGTCCAGTGCAGCTACCAAAGTTTGGTATTCCTGCTGTTGGGCTGCAGGAATAGTTTGCAGCAGTTCCAGAGCAGGGCCACGCAGCGCGATGACAAGTGCCGCTGCTTTCTCCTGGTCGGTCCATCCGTTGGCAGCGGCGGCTGCTTCAAACCACACTTCAAACTGACGGTGGTACATCGTCCAGGTCGTTTGTCCATCATAGGTCGGGGCCTTAAGGTTCGCAGTTCCAGGAACGCCAGGTGTCCTTACTTGTACCTTGGTCTTGTGTAGGTCCATCTCTAATTTTTCCATTTTCTGCTGAAGGCGTTCCTCCAGATCTTCTACGGTTTCTTGAAGGTGGATTTCTTGCCTTCTTTCTAGTTCTTCAAAGTTCTTCTTAAGACGGTTTTGATCTTCTTGTCTTTCTTTCTGGCGGTGCGTCTCTATATCTTCTAAAATTTCCCTCCATTCATTCTTCTGACGGATTTCTAAATTGCCTAAAATTTTCTCAATCCGGTCCTGTTCTTCTTGTTTTTCTTGTTGTCGTTGTAATTTTTCCTCTTCCTTATCTTTACGTAATCTTTCTTGTTCTTCTTGTTTTTCTTGTTGTCGTTGAATTTTCAAATCTTCAAAAATTTTGTCAAGCCGGTCCTGTTCTTCTTGACGGCGTAATTTTTCTACTTCTTTTTCTTCTGCTTTCTCTCTTCTCATATTCTCCATAAAATCGCCCAACAATTTGCTTACTTCTTCCATTTTCTTCGATTGCTCCCTTGTACCAACCATAAAAATACTCTGATTCGGTCTAAAAATCTTCCAATCCACTTAATTTCTTCTTAAAATCCTCTTGAATCGCACTTCCGACACCAATTGTTACGGATTCCGTGGGTCCACTATTTAAACTCACGATAAAATACTTAACGAATTTATTTGTCTCACTCTGTACACACAACTTATACTATTTACAACACAATTTATGCAACTACTATTACTCTAACGCTGCTCTAACGGTATTTCGCGGTATTATCAAACTTCAGACTTCAGACTATCTTCAGACTGCCCCAACTGTCAAAGCGCGGGCGTTATATACTCCCTGGCGATAGTTTCTGGAATTTTCTAAAGAAGTCTGTAATTTTCTTTTACTTTCTGTCGAATTCGCCAGGTTCCTCAATGCACCGTTGCGGTTATGCAACCAGTAATACACCTTGACCTTAACAATATTGTTATGGATTCCGTGGGTCCACTAATTTAAACTCACGAGAAAATACTTAACTATTTATTTTTCTCACAATTTATACTAATAATACACAATTAACTACTTATAAAATTCCTTCGCCAAATTGTCCGTTTCGTAATAATTTAAACGCGGTATATTCAAACTTCAAACTGTCCCAATTGCCGATTACGCATAGATAAATGAAACAAGTTTAGATTGGAAAGTGCCCATAAGGACAATGTAAACACTATTTGGCGCTATTCTTGCAACGGTCGCGACCCAAAACTTTTGAAAATTTCGGAGCGGTTCGGCTTTTTCCGGAATTATATCGCCAAATATTGTTTATTCAAATTTATTATTATTTTCGTTTAGTTTTATAAATAAAAGACAGTGTGTTGCATACAAGAAACTTTATTTTATATAAGGACGCATGTATGAAATACCTATGAAACATTGGAAACCGACGTTATACCACGATCCACGATGGTTTTTGCAGTTCACAGTTAATAGCACAGCTTTTTAAGTTTCTAATGCCACTTTTTCACAATTATCACCGGTTGCAGTAAATAAAACTTGAATTAAACTCACAAGATAACAATAATTACTTTGAAAATGAACGCTATAAACACTTTTCGGAATTTCCTTAATGATAGCGGTTTAGATTTTGAAAGATTATTATGATTTTTGAAGATTCTGACTTTGACAACAGAAAATTATTTCTGTTTTTGTTTGCCGTTGTTCTTAGCGACCGCTATAGCAGCGCCAGATCGCGTATAACGGTCGCGACCCAAAATAATTTCGCGACCTAAAATTTTTACGGGCTTTCCAATCTAAATTTGTTGCATTTATCTATGCGATTACGCTAGCTTATATACTCTATTGACTGTTTTTCGTACCTTCTACAATTCTCAGAGAGCGTTCTACTTCCTACTGGAAAATTCTACTGCTGCCCGATTCGCTTTTGCATTTAGCTAAGAGATGGCGCTTCCACAAAAACGTTTTCAGATTTGCAAACAGATTTGTTAAGGTAAATTTAAACGCATTTAAACGTATTTGGGGTCAAGACTCAAGAGGTAGGTATTTTAAATTTTAAATTTTGCGTATCGGTTCTGAACCAAGTTCTGAAATTGAAATACCGGCCATCTGGCGGACATGTAAGATATGAATTTGTCGATTTGTTTTTAGAGAAATTCGATACATTGTTCGATACCTTTTCAACGTCTCTAACTTGTCATTTGTCTAAACATACTGTCATAATCATATGTTATCTATTTAAATTGAAACGGCTTGTCTTGTCCTTGTCTTTTATGAGTTGTCCTTGGGTGTCCGGTGTCCTGTATGGTGTCCTGTGTCCTGTGTTTACTTGGGTACTAAAGGAACGGATTTAAAGAAAATTACATATTTATATTCCATATTTTGTTTTCTTTAGTCAGATGGTAAGTTTTTAGCGTTCCATTTGACATTCTTTAAAACTTTAGTTTTTGAACCACAATAATTATTACTCAAGAATGATGCAAGAGAAAGATAAAATAAAACTACTAATATTTTGATTTGTATTTAACAGGTCAAGTGCTTAATAGTTAAAAATATTTATCTTACAGACATTTTTTTCCTGGTTCTATCTTGACTTGAGTGATAATTATATAATTCATTGAACATTATAGTATTTGGTTTTAATTTAAAGGTTTATTGTTTAGATATTGTAACTGGCATGGTAACTATTGACCCTCTGAATGACATAGTAAATTTATTCTAAACTGTAAGGAACTTTTGTTAAGCTACATATATGTTGATCAAAGTTCACATAACATTGCAGTGAATTAAACAAACACTATTAAACAAATAGGTATTTATTGATATCCCAATTTTAACAATTATTATTTTATGTCAGTTTAAAATCTATGTAGAACATAAGGTAGCATTAAAGGCAATTCTTTACTTTTATATAATGCATATTAGGTAGGTACTTAATATACAATATTGAGATATAATCAATCATTCCAAGATTAGTTAGTAGTACCTAGGTATTTTACTATTATACATATATTTAATTTATAAAATCAACAATATTTATAAATACGTCTTATTCACTCATCAAGAGCCACTAAAAAACTATGCTTTAGTTTATTTCTAATTCAAAAAAGACTACACACAAAAATTATGTATATTGAGTATACCAGATCTAAGCCTGGTTGACATGTTAAGAGCAACACTGAAGCAAGTCAACCAGATGCTACCATATAAATGTACTTTTATATAGATAGATTGTACTGGTATGGTATCAACTGTTTTATCAAACTCAAAGGCTTTGTAGTATCCACATCTCTCTTGTACGCTGCATGTATAGTTTTGACTGTTCTGAAGGTCCGAATGATCTTCAGAGAACATTTATTAGGACTAAACTTTTATATAAAAAAGACAATATCAATTTTTTTAACGTTTAATACTTCATCACATGTGTCATTTTGTTTTCACTATTTTAATATTATTCATTCTAGTGATGCTACCTGTTTCAATAACATGCCTATCTCCCATTATCTGTGCTGATTTGCTAATAAGGAAGAAGACCTAAGAAAACATTTTTTATTTCACCTATCTGCATCAATCATTTGACCATCATTTTTCCATCAACATTATTAGTGAAATATCTTTTATCCGTTGTATGTTTAGCTAGTTGTGTAAGTATTCAGTTAACTTTAATTATAGTCATTACCGGGTGTCCCATTTTCGTATGTTTTACAGGGTTTGTCGCTTAAGATTAGTGATACAAAGATAATAAATCTTATTTTTACCTGAGGAATCTCCCCACGAGAGATGGCACATGTTTTTTATAACACCCTGTATAAATCACATGAAAATTAAAAAAAAAACACTTGATTTAAATTACGATTTAAATCATGATTTAAATCATGCCAACCCTGAATAAAATTAATATTGTATTACCATATTGTCAGATAATGGATGCATGAAAATCAAGCTTTAGACGTCCGTTGGTTTATTATAATTTTTTTCAATATTCTCAACTACTGATTATTAAAATTATTGTGTTACAGGATCCGTAACAGTAAACCAAAATGCCACCAGTACCTCCTGCCAAGCCCGAATTTCCAAAATTTGTTGACTCATTATGGTGCGTTTATGCAGTTTCAGTAGTCGCCGCGTGGAACGCTGAATTTTGTAAGTATTTAATTTCATATTAAATTATAATTTTATATATAAAATATATTTAAATTAGTCATTAAACTAAAAAGGTTATTGGGTAACTAGGTAGTCTAATACGTAAGTGTGGGGAGGAAAGTAACGAGGTAACGGCGTCATCGGATATCCTTGACAAGGATATACCGGGTTCGTCTCAAATGTGGCTCACCCCTATACCTTTTTTATTTTATCAGATAAAGAAAACGAGATTTGGTATGTTAATATATGACATAAATTAGGACTGATTGACATATATTCAATTGTTTTCTGTCACTTCCTATTTCACCGGAAATTACTACAACTTTTGATTTTTAAATGGCACCCTCGGTATTTTTTTACTTTATTCGATAGAAAATGACATTCTTAATAAAATGTCAACTTTTGACATTTTTCCTTAAAACAAAATTGAATTTTAAATTTCAATCTAGAGTGCCATGGCTGTGTTAAAAACACTAATTCTTAATTAAGGAGCCTTGGAAAAATAGATTTGATCGTCTAATGTCATTCGTGTCTTGTCCAGATGGGTTAAAAGATGCCCAAATCGTAGTTTTAATCATATTTCAATTTTTGGTGGCTCATTAGCATATGTATTTGGAAAAAGAATTTTTTTGTGAATAATTTGGCACCACACACTTGGTATTTTGAGTCAAATTATCGTTATGAATCGCATGTTACAATTTCAAATAAACCATATTCGAAAATGTCAAAAGTTGACATATGATATGTCATTCTATTCAGAGTGTCATTTTATATCAAATAAAGTAGAAATATACCGAGGGTGCCATTTAGAAATCAAAAGCTGTAGTCACTTTCTTTAAAACAGGAAGTGACAGAAAACAATTGAATACGTCAATCAATCCTAATTTATGTCTTATATTAATATACCAAATTTTTTATCTGAGAAAATAAAAAAGTTATATGTATAAAAGTGTGAGCCACTTTTGAGACGCACCCGGTATAGAAGATATAGTCTCTTCAACTATAAGATACGATTTTTACCGACGACATCCAGAAATTGACGGGAAAAACTAAAAAAAAGAAAGCGTACCATTTCGGGTTCAGAACCGGGAAATTCCAGTCTCGAGAGTACCTAGAATTCTCGATTCTTTTGAGCCTCAATGAACCGAGACTCGAAATACTTTTGGGATTCGGTAACAATAATTAAAAAATATTTTTCTTGTTACGAATGTCCTTTAATACTTTCTAACAGTCGCAATCAAGGTTAGGTTAAGTCGCTGGGGTTTGGGATCATGTTTGATCTCTCACTCGTAGGCCTTGGGTCCATTGCGATACCCCTGTATTAATGTACCAAACCTTCCTCTCATTCTTTCTTTGCGTTAAAGCACTTCCAGCTCGTTGCAAAGTTCCCAATGTCGCTCATGTTGGCTTCTGCTGCTTCTTCTAGTCCATCCAAAAATCTTGCTCTGAAGTTTAAAACATTGGTATTCCAGTGCTGGACAGTTGCAGCATTCCTTTGCGCATTCTCTGCAGTAATTGTCGTTGGAAATCTTTCATCTCACGAGGTTTACCCCCATGGTAGTTTCCAGTGATATACAGGGTGTGCCAGGCTGAGCGTGCATTAGAAGTTTCTAGAGAACCACAATATCTAGACCGGAGATTTTTTGCAACGAGATCTATCGATTAAAAATATTTTCAATATGGCGGCAATTTCAAAGTGGACGACAACTTTCTTATTTTAAATAGGTGCCCCCATTTTTTATTACATACTTAAATTCTCTGTAAAATTTTATGAATTTTGATATTAAACACTCTGTACCTAACATTAACTGTTTTTGAGAAAAAAAATATTTAAAATTTTTGGACGAAAAAAACTGCCTGTCAAAGATAAATGTATAGTCTAAACGTCAAATTTAGTAATTACCACAGCCACTGTGGCATTAAGAGAAGACATGTGGCTATCTATTTCAAAATTAAATTGTTTGAATGTCATATAATAATGGCTGCAGCTGTCATGGAATTGAGAGATTAAAAAAGTAGCATAAATCATTTTTTTCAAATGGCAACCCACTTTTTTATTTCACTGGTGAAAAGGCTTTTCAATTCGTTACTTTTTGACTATACACGTTCCTATTAATCGTTTTAAGTTATTTAAAATTTAATTTTAAAGCGTATATTTTTCTTGATTTTAACAAGTAGCCTATGACTTTAAACGACAAGTGATGTAAAACAATAGATCTGGCCATGTCGTATTGTGACACTTTGTTCAAAAAGCAGTATGTTATCGATCATCATTTGCAAGCCAACTTTGCGTTTTTTTTTCAGGGTTGATATTTTGTGCTCAATTCCATGATTACTCACGGGACATTTAGAATAACAACAACATTTTAAGAAAGTGTATTTTGTCCTTCATATGGGCTAGGTAAAGTTTTAGGATATTATTTTCACAGACAATGATTTAAATTACTGTTGTGATACAGAACAAGATATTGAAATTTATAGTGATTAAAACATTAATAAAAATCTATGATTACTCACGGGACATCAAAAAATTTGGATTTTTAAAATTTTGTTTTTAATAACTTTTTTCTCTGAACCTATACAAAATAAAATACATTAAGTGGAATTAGGAACTTACATGCGCTGAACTTAAAATTAATTTGCTATAGCTCTATTACAAGATACAGATATATTTGGGATATAAGTAATTTGTTGATTACTCACGGGACATTACTCACGGGACATTACTCACGGGACACTACGATTTTAATATAAATTTTTATTTAGATTCAAAAAAATAACATAATATTTGATAACTAAATAGAATAACATTGAACAATATTTGAGTGCTTGGAATTAAACACATTTCTAACCTCAATTTGATAATTACTAAAATTCCTAAAACTATGAAAACTTGTTGTATTTGGTACTCTTTTAACTAGATTCCATTTTTCATCTAATTTAATTTTAGCTGCTTCAATTTTATCGGAATTTATTAGGATTGTATTAATTTTCAATTCTATTAATTTATAATTTTTAATTTTCAAATATATTAATTTTCAATTTTTAATTTTTCAATTCTCGGCATGTTTTTTAAGATAAGCTTGCCTTAAATTTTTGTCCGCATTAATTTTGTCTCGATACTTGTTAACGCGACTCCTAACTCGTACCTGCCTATCATGATTCTTAATTTTTGCCATCCTTAAATAAAAAGAACCTATGACCGGTATTTTGTATTGATGTTTTCAACAATTATTTAAAAAAAAAGACGATATGATAAAGTCTTGTAATGTTAGAAAAATTATGTTTTTTGATATATTTGGTAAAATAATAAACGCATTTCTTTAAAAAAGCATGTTTACAGCAAAATGTTATGCTGTAAATTTTAACTGATTACTCATGGGACAGTTTAAACAAATTTAAAAAAAATATTTCCAAGAATCTTAAAAAACTAAGTTATATTGACAATACATGTTAGCCAATATACTATAAGTTTGATTCCCTTTATACGGGTTTTCTATAGAAATAACGACAAAAATTTAAAAACTTTTCTTTTTTGGTTACTCACGGGACAAAAAGTTGAGCTATATTTGTAATTAAATTAAAGTAATTTTTACTTACATTTGGCACAAATATACACCAGTACACAAACGCTTGACAACAACAGTAAATGACGCGCAGCAGGCCCAGAGCTAGCGTTCTTTTATTATTATTTAGCAATTATTAAAGATTTTTTGCAAACTAATTCTAATAATTTATCCCTAAATCTTTTCGCGAAATCTGGCTAACTTAGATAATTTTTTAAGAAATTTGATTCTTTTTGAGGCGTATGATGAGAGTTTTTTCAGTAATTTAATCACTTAAAATATATAAGAAAATTAACGTCGTATATGGAATATAATTATAGATAGATATATATTTTATAAATACACTTTTTAAACTTTTAAGGCAACAGTATTTATATAGGAAATTCAAATAATTTGTTTTCTGACAGATGGAAATAAATTGTCTGACTTTTTGACACTGAATGTCACAGGAAGCTAGATAAAATCAAGAAAAATATACGTTTTCAAACTAAATCTTAAATAACTTAAAAACGATTTATTTTTGGTATAGGAACATGTATAGTTAAAAAGTAACGAATTGTAAAATCTTTTCGCTAGTGAAATAAAAGTAGGTTTCCATTTGAAAAAAATGATTTATAACTTTTTAATCACTCAATTCCACGACAGCTACCGCCATTATCATATGACATTTGAACAATTTAATTTTTGAAATAGATAGCTACATGTCTTCTCTTTATGTCACAGTAGCTGTAGCAAACACTAAATTTGACTTTTAGGCTATACAACTTTTTTTGACAGGTAGTTTTTTTCGTCCAAAAATTTTAAATATTTTTTTTCTCAAAAACGGTTAATGTTAGATATAGAGTGTTTAACATCAATATACATAGAATTTTACAGAGAATGTAAGTATGTAATAAAAAGTAGGGGCGGCCATTTAAAATAAGAAAGTTGTAGTCAACTTCCGATATTTCCGGAAGTGCCGCCATATTGAAAATATTTGTAATCGATAGATCTCGTTGTAAAACAATGATGTGCAAAAAATCTCCGATTTAGATATTGTGGTTCTCTAGAAACTTCTAATGCACGCTCAACCTGGGACACCCTGTAATCTGTATATCAATCGGTTTTAAAACGTTTTTCGACGTCTTTCGATGCTCAGTAACCATTGTACTCTATCTAGCCAGAGGTCGTCTTCGAGCTCTCGTTCTTTTAGCTTATTGTCTATTTCTTCTCTCCAGCTCTTGGTGGTCTACCCCTTTTTCGTCGTCCAGCTGGTATCCTCTTGGATATTCAGGATTTGAAGCCTCTCCTCCGACATTCTTTGTACGTGGCTATACCATATTAATTGTTTCGTTCTTATGTCATCAGCTGTTGTTCGATTAACCCCCTTAATTTCTCGAATTATGTAGTTTGTACATCTTTCTCTTCTGGATTTACCTGCGGCCCGTCTCCAGAAATCCATTTCTGGATGCGCACGGCCTTATCTTTTAGCCGCTATGCCTCGCTGCCATTCTGCCATAGCAAACGATGCTTTTAACCATTGTGCTGTATATTTGACGTTTGTTGGATTTAGAGATGTTACTATCCCAAAAGACGCCATTTAACATAGAAATTGCCTTTCTTCCCTGAGCGTTTCTGTCCCTACCTAACTTTCCAGTGATGACACCTACAATTATGCGTGCTAGGTTCTTTTTGTGCTCTAGTAGTTGTTTTGTATTTTTGCTATCTACAACTGGCCACAGTCTTCGAGCTGTAGCGAAGTCACACGGTTTTGTCACGTATCTTGCTGCTTCGTCTTGGTCTTGATGGTAGTTCCTATAGCTTCCTTCAGTGGGTTGGTCGTCAACCGCTTCAACGAGAGGATCCCTGACAGTGGCAGTTATATCTGTTATAATTCACAGGCAAAATGTATTTTCCGTCATTTTTAGATGTCGCTTGTCAAAATATTCCATGACTCGTACCAACTTAACTAAGTTAACTCGTCGAACTTTATTGTCACTCTACCAAACCTAATCAGACCAACAGTTCTGTCGATGTTAAGCTATCGATGTTCGCCAACTAAAAGATACGTCTTGTTCTGGTTCTCTTTTGCTGTTTAATAGCCCACAAAAAATCCTATGTGCTGTCAAGTAAAACACTTCGAAGCTAATCTCTTAACGCAATGTCCTTAAAGTGCTCTCAGTTTAAAAAATAAACTGATATACAGGGTGGTCCGAACTGTATTCCGGAAACTTCGGCAGCATATTCTGCAGATAAAAATAAGTAAAAAAGTTTGTACAAATGTAGTATAGTAGTAGGTGTAGAAGTTTTCGTTTTTTTCCAAATAATTTCTGAATTTCTCAATGTCAATATTTGGATGAAAATTGGTGTCTGGGTGTTTTTTGACATGAGAAATTTGATGCTGATGTCAATATGACTCCTATTTGTAGGGGCGCCACCTACATGTGTTAATTGTTTTGAGGAGTAATAACTTTTCGTCCGTACCTGTATAAAACTACTGAGTGAAAAAATATACATTTCCGTGACTTTACGTAAAAAAGGTCTCTTGGTAAAAATCGCTCAAGATATTTAGAATGGAAATAGTCAATACGTCATTATTGACAAAAAATAAACACGTGTTAAGCTTGATTTTCATGCATCCGTTGTCCGACGATACGATGAAACGATATTAATTTTATTGGTTGAATTTAAAGACTTCGGTTGGTTAGAAACGGTTAACCAATCGAAGCCTTTAAATACAACCAATGAAATTAATATCGTATCAACGTATCGTCGGACAACGGATGCATGAAAATCAAGCTTTATTTGACTGAAATCATAAATTTGGGAAATTTAATTTTTTTTAATTAATCATAAATTTTTCTGCGGAAAAATGATGATAAGATAGTTTCTGTTGAACCTTTGGCACTTTTTTGGAACCTTTTGGCAAATTGGAACCTTTGGCAAGTTCCAATTTATGATTTCAGTCTAATAACTGTTTAGACAACAGGTGTAATTTATGTCAATGATGACAGGGTATTGATAATTTCGATTCCAAATATTTCAAGAACCATTACTCGCAGCGATTTTTACCAAAAGACCTTTTTTACGTAAAAAACGTCGTTAATGTATATTTTTTTACTCAGTAGTTTTATACAGGTAGGGACGAAAAGTTATTACTCTTCAAACCAGTTAAAAAATATGTAGGTGGCGCCCTCTTCAAGTAGGAGTCATATTGACATCAAAATCAAATTTCTCATGTAAAAAAAAACTCCCAGACACTAATTTTAATCCAAATTTTGACGTTACTTCATAAATTATTTGAAAAAATAAAAATGAAACTTCTCCACCCTGTATTCCCGAAACTAAGCATTTTAGGACACATATATACGAACTTTTTTACTTATTTTTATATGCAGAATATGCTGCTGAAGTTTCCGGAATACAGTTGGGACCACCCTGTATTTTGAAAATTATCCACTATAAATTGCGATATGAATTGGATTTTTTTTATATTATATAATTCTTTCGAGTAACAGTAATCTGTCTAGATGATATCAATATGGAATATTCCTTTAGAAATTAAAACTTTAGGTTTTATAAAGTTTGAAATATATTAATAAAATTATTTTTTTTGGAGGATGTGATCTTTTTTTTAAAGCTGAACAAGTCAAAATTAGTTATAAACTTTTTAGATATTTTTTCAGTATTTGAACCTTGAGTACAATTGTTATTTTTTATGAATATTATGCTATGTAAAATTATTTCATAATTTTATGTATTTTGGTTCGCGGAATGTTTTTGTAACAAAGTTATCTTATAAAACTTAATTAAAAATAATCCAGCATAAAGATAACGGAGTTTTGAGGATTACATTTTATAAGTAATTATTCTGTTAGTAATGCGCTTGTTTATTTTGTAGACATAATAATAGTAAAAGGGCGAAAATTGTTTAATTAAAAATTTTATTGTTTATTGTTTAATTAAAATTTATAATATATTCCAAAAATTATAAATACTCAAATGTTATGACACTGATGAAACACTGCCGAAACACGTATTACCAATTATTAGTAATTGTTAAGCTTGATTTTCATGCATCCGTTGTCCGACGATACGTTGATACGATATTAATTTCATTGGTTTTGTATTTAAAGGCTTCGATTGGTTAACCGTTTCTAACCAATCGAAGCCTTTAAATACAACCCAATGAAATTAATATCGTATCAACGTATCGTCGGACAACGGATGCATGAAAATCAAGCTTAAGCCGGCTCGCGACAAACAAAACTAATTTCAAATTTATTTCACAATTTGTTTAGTAGGGATACGCAATAATAGTCTAAATATTTTTTTTCCATAGCAACTGTTAAAATTGCCTTATATCTATCAAAAATAGTAGATAAAATAGTACTTTAACCGCAAGGGTAGATTAAATGATACTTTAACAGCGAGGATAGGTTAAAAACTTTATTTCTTCTCGCACGTGTTTTAATTGCTTCCATTTTTTAAAATGTTTGTATTCCTTTTCATAAGTTATTCGGGATTTAAATGGAAGTAGTTTGGATATCGCGTTTGTCGCCTCAGCCTGAATATCTGTTGGTAATTTACTTATTTCGTTTTGAGCCATTTCTGGCACACGAAAGAGAATTAAAAAATATTCACTCAAAACTGACAACTAAAGAGACAGCTTTATTTATTTGTCAAATTACATAGAAACCAACGCCAACCCAGCACAATATTTTTGTAGTTTTGTATAACCCTGTAGAACACACGAAAATAGGACACCCTGTACACTTACTAAAAAAGAAACGTATCTTTGCGATACCTTGATGAGACGGAAGTGTGCAATTTTTAAATTTTAGTTTTATTTAATATTAATATTAATTAATTTATTAGTTAGTAAATTTAGATCTAGGAGACAAATAAATTTGAGAATAAGCTTGGTAAACTTAACTTTTTCATTTTTTATTCCTTTTACATTTTTATTGTATAATTTCCAATTTAAAAATTATTATTATTATGCTATTTTATTATCATCACCATATTGGCTTTTAGATGATTTTTTTTTAACATAAAAGTTATGAATTTATGAATATTCTGTTTAATAAATAATCATATTTTCGGTTCACTGTATTATGATTCAAAGCTTTATAATTTTTTTATTAACTATCTCTGCTTTTTTTCTTGTATGATGCAATATATAATAGAATAATCTTATCCATAATAAATGTAAATTCATCTTAAGAAACTTGCTAGTTCGTGTAGTGCTAAAAAGATGCACAATAAATATGAAATTTTTAATGCATTTTAGATTGTAACTGTACTTTATGCTCAATCTTTGTTAATGTCTTACATTCTTGCTTTTCTGTCATAGTACAAATAACTATTTATTTACCAAATCAGTAGGGGCTTATTTTTCTATTAACTGGAAATACAAAAACTCATTCAGTCTTTGGGTTGAAATATTAAAATTGAATGAAACTGTTTTAGGCAGAAACAATTTGAACCAGTATTCCGAATAAGCAAGTTCAGTAAGGAAATGCATCCTGTTAAAACGGGAGGGTTTTGTAAAATTTGATGTTTTTTGATGGTACTTGAGAGCAGTAGAATATAAATAAATTAACCAAAATGGTGGTATGTTTTTTTCGTTCTTTTAAATCCCAAATTTTATTATAACCGTTATGTAAAATACTGTTTTAAAATATTACATAATGAATTTTTTATTTCAGTAACTTATCCTTTAGATCTCATCAAAACAAGACTGCAAATTCAGGGAGAACTCAATAAAAATGGGGGAAAGGTAATGAACAGGCACTAGTTTATTTTGATTGGTTGTCCACAAATTGTAGTCTTTTTTTAATTTTTTAATGTACAAATACTATTTGCATGCGTAGTTATGTACTGGAATGTTATCATATGGATAATAAATATGACGAGATATAATTAATATAATGGTGTCTTTAACATAACATTAAGAGCCAAAACACACGCGTCGGCTTATGGGCGCTTTATAGGCGGCGCGACTTTGGTCTTCACCGTTTGTGTACGTTCGGCGGCCGTCGTCGACGACGTGCCGTCTGTTTTGTAACATTGAAATCCCATTATGGAGCCTACGCCGGCGGCACAGACAATGCACCCCGCCGCCCAAAAGCCACTGCATGTTTTCACTCTAAAGGTTTCCTAGGACTGTTAGTGGACCGAGGACGGAAACCGAAAGTTTGCCGCGAAATCGGAATTTTTTTTGGAGGTGTAAAATACTTTTGCGTACGGAGTGTGGGACTCAGTCTCTCCTTAAGTTGACTGAGGGACACTACCCACTAAACATCACCCCCTCACTTCTGCCACGTCTATCTGGGCTCGCTGGATACAACTCCTCAAGTAGACGCCGGACTGTTCTTTTCGTTTGATTACCCTTGCTCTGTGCCTGATTTTGCCTCGAATATATTTTGGGCCAGTTTTGTGATGGCTTCAAAGTTTTCCCTTCTTTCTGTTACAGATGTTAAGAAGGTGTCTGCGGAGATGTTGCCACTAATCGTCATGCGCGCCTCACATCTTTCCTGTTCGCATCTTGGACAGGTACACATTGTGTGGTCTGGAGTATTGCTGAGTTCAGCACAGGTATTGGCATGCCGCGACTTCCCTCTTTCCAATTCTAAGGTAACTCCCAAAAATCCCGTGACCACTCAATATTTGAGTAAGATACACATATTTATATTTGAGATGAGCTTATATGTCCATCTTCCTTTTTGCGATACTTCCCATTCTGCCTGCCACTGCTGCACTGAGCGGTTTCTCTCCATCTCTCTGCTTGCCCTGGTTTGTACTTCAACCTTGAGAAAGAGTCGTCCTCTTTCTCTTGAGAGAAGATGCAGGGGCACCAAACCCGATATAACCAAGGCTGCTGCCGTTGAAGTTGTCCGATACGCCTAGCAGATTCTCAAAGCCATGGCTCTCTGTGCACCCTCAAGTCTTTTTTTATTTACGTGCATATTGGTTGCTTCGTTCCACACAGGTGCTCCATACATAGCAGTATTCTGGCACGCATATGCTAACACTTTTCTTTTTGCTGGTGTTGTCCCCGAACGTTTGGCAGTATTGTGGACAAGCACAAGCACAAGTGTTGTAGCAGTTCGTTGTGGTTTTTTCAACACACCTCCTTGATGTGCAGGCTCATAGTGAGGGCACGGGTCTATAATCCTAGATAGTTGACTAGCTTCACTGGATTTATTATTATATCCTTAAAATTAAAATTTATATGGTCAACTTTTCTCTTGCAGTTTTTTTCTTCTGGCTCCATTTGAACTCTGGGTGGCATTTTCTTCAGCTGGGATCTTATTATCTTGTATGCTTGACCATAAACATTTTCTTGTAAGTCATCGCAAAGTTTTTCCCATGAGCTTATTTTTGCAATTCTCATCTTTTGAGAATTGCAAAAATCATCTTTCCTCGCTGAAACCTTGTTCTCGTTTCCTTCACTTCCAAAATGTTTATTTGGATACCTTCGTTCATCTGGAAGTCTTCATCACAACGGACAGTAGGAGTACTAGGTTATTAGCGGGTAATAAATTTAAGTATACAGGGTCGGTCATAAAGTCGTGGCAAATAAAAGTTTCATTTTTTAAATGGAACCTTCTGTATATTATTGCATATTTCGGTTCTTCCTTTAATTCTAAGCAAAAATCGAGATACACACAATGTACCTCAAACCAACCCTTCCTTTAATTTGCGAACTTTCGGTTTCCGCTCCGTTTTTGGTTCCGTCCTCCGTCACTATCGGTTCTAGGAAACCCTACCTTAACCGCTTGAGTACGCTCGTTTTGACGCGAGTTTTGTAACACTGAACATTAAATATAAACCGCTGCGTGTGTTTTGACGCTAATACTTAATAAAATTATCGCTTGGATCGATTATATTCCCCATATAATTTTACATGTAAAATGACAGGGTTTATTTGACAGGGCAATTTAGTTTAAAATACAAAATATTATAATAAAATAACTATATTAAAGTCTTTTTCTTAGTGTAGGTACCTAAGAATTTCTGAATTTGCCACAAAATTCTGGACATTTTTTTCAGTGCACAAATGTCAAAGTACTACCAAAGAATAAGTTCATGGATCTACTTCGTAGTTTTAATATTTAATACGTAGAGATGTACAGGGTGTCCCACTGAGAATAGCTCTCGGCTGTATCTCGGAAAGTATTAGGCGTAGCGGCTGCGGAAAAAATATTTATAACTAAAGAGGCTATGGGAAATTGCTGGAAATTATTTTCAAGTTTGTAGAACGACCGCTAGGGGGCGCAACTGCAACAAAAAATAAGAAAATGGAGTTTTTACACAATTTTGTCTAGATAAGGTGTACTATAAGTAACAGCTTCATAATCTTATCAGTAAATTTTGAATATTTTTTGTTAGAGCCATTTCCCCCTATCTTCCAAAATAAAGTGGTGGGGGAAGGTTAGATCTGTTTTTATTTGAATATTAATAACTCTGGACTGGATGATCGGAATCCAACAAGCGAGGGCTCGTTTAAAATAGGGTTTCTTACTCTATATTGTACCATATAAACAATAATAATAAACTTTTGAACGTAGACGCTAGGTGGCGTTGTCTTACAATTTAACAAACATTGCGCGTTTTTTCAAAAGCATTAAATGCAATAGTATATGTAATTTTAGCTGATATTAAAGAGTGGTAAAAGCTTAAAAAGTCAGCGAAAACCGCATCTTGATATCTTCTTTCAAACCGAAGATATTAGCAAAATTATAATAAATACCAAAAAATAAGCGCTTAATTACCTTATTTTTACAACATGCCAACAACTTCAACTACTTCAAATAATAAATGCATTTTGAAAAAGCATTTAAAAAATAAAAAAACGCTGCTAAGACTAATTTGACGTTTATACTATTACGCGAAAAGCAACTTTTTCCCAAGCCTACCATGATTTCACTGAATCATCGTTTCTTGTTCACTATTATTAATATCTTAATTATTAGATATTAATACATCTGATATTATGATATTCTGGTATATCATCGATTTTAAAATAAACTAATTGTTTCTATCTTAGTTTTAGGTTAGAATGGGCATAATCAAGATGGCTACTGATACCGTGTTGTAAAAATAAGGTAATTAAGGGCTTATATTTTGGTATTTATTATAATTTTGCTAATATCTTCGGTTTGAAAGAAGATATCAAGATGCGGTTTTCGCTGACTTTTTAAGCTTTTACTACCCTTTACTATCAGCTAAAATAACACATACTATCGTATTTAATTTTTTTGAAAAAACACGCTATGTTTGTTAAATTGTAAGAAAGCGCCCCCTAGCGTCTACGTTCAAAACCTTAATATTATTATTTTTATGGCATAATATAGAGTAAGAAACGCTCTATTAAACGAGCTTGTTTTTAAACGAGTTTGTTGGATGCTGATCATCCAGTCCAGAGTTATTAACATTTAAATAAAGATAGATCTAACCTTCCTCCACCACTTTATTTTAGCAGATAGGTTCTAACAAAAAGAAATCCAAAATTCACTGAAGATTATGAAGCAATTATTTATAGTACCCATTATCTAGGCAAAATTCTGTAAAAAATCTATTTTCTTATTTTCCATAGCAGTTGCACCACCTAGCGGCTGTTTTACAAACTTGAATATAATTTCCAGCAATTTCTCATAGCCCCTTTAGTTATAAATATTTTTTTCCGCAGGCTTTGCGGCTAATACTTTCCGAGATACAGCCGAGAGCTATTCTTAGTGGGACACCCTGTACAGTGGCGGATACAGGTGGCCATTGGGCTTCCCTATAATCTATAAATTGGGTTAAATCGTAGGCTTTTGGGTTAAAAATGGCGCCCTAAATAGCTCTAAATATATAAATTCTACATTACTTCTCATTTGGCTTCCCCTAAAATAAATTCCTGTATCCACCTCTGGAGATGTACTATATTTTTTATATACGATAGAAGGGGAGCCCAAGCGGGGATTTACTCAAGGGCAGTTCAATATTATATTAGGGTAGTAGCGTTGATTGAAAGAATTGGGAAGATACGCAACCTAATGAGCAAATTCGTGACAAAGCTGATTTCATGTCCCCTTACGTCCCAAGTGCTGTACGGTGGAGACAGTCGCTCTGCGGTCAACGCATAAAACACTTATTTTCCCTAATTCGCCCAGCGAAGGCATATCGAAGACGGTGTGGATCTGAAAGCGACAGTGTTGCCATATTAAAATGTATAATATGTAATAATGTAAATACATTTGACGAAAATATCTTTGGATGAAACATCCGTGTGTATTGAAAATTTAAGCTTGATTTTCATGCATCCGTTATACGTTGATACGATGGTCCGACGGTGCTCTGATTGGTCATAGCGTTTTCGCGCCACTTTTCATCCGTAAATATTTTACTTCAGCCCGTCAACGGACCCGTTCATACGATAATGGACGTTTTGACACTTTTTTGGCAAATTTAATCTAACCTTAACAAAAATACCGTGTGATCGAATAAAAACGGCGTCAGCGATGGCTATGAAATGAAGATCGCTGTCATTTTATATGTAAATTTATATGGGAAATGTCATCGATTGTCATTTCCAAGCCAACTGGGCGCCGTTTTTATTCGATCATACGGTATAAGTAAAATAGCAAAATCGTTATGGAAACGAAAATATAAAATAACACCAACGTATATCCGATAAATGGAGGCATGAAAATGCAATAAATTTAAAAAGTGCGTTATTTTCTAACCAATCAAAGTCTTTAAATTCTACCAATAAAATTAATATCGTATCAACGTATCGTCGGACAACGGATGCATGAAAATCAAGTTTTATTCGTGTTATACATAGAATAAACAACAAAAATAAAAATTCTTTTATAGGTAGGTACTGAATATGTCGTACGATCAAAAAAAGTCGGTTAGTTGGCTTGAATATGACTATTATTGACACTTACTATAATATTTTACATATGAAATAACAGCGATCTTCATTTCCAAGCCAACTCTGACGCTGTTCTTTGTTTAATCATATAACATTATATTAAAATGTTTAATGATAGAAAATCCGTATTACTAATGTACTGTACCCAAAATCCGTAAATTTTACGGATTAATCAGTAGTAGGCAACACTTACTTTGTCACTCTACGGTACAGTACTCTTTATCCGCTGCATGGTAAACGAATATCAGCGCGTAGCGGCGCAGAGTTAAACTAAATCTTGGAATTTTCGGACACGCTGACTGTAACGCCAGCTACATCTCGGACAGGTTTTGTGCCACGAAATCACCCATAAGGTTGCGCATCTTCTTATTTCTTCAATCAACGGTAGTAGTAATCATACCTTTTATACGGTTCGGTAAATCGACCAACATTCGTTATCTGACCAAGCCTTAATCTTAAGGAAGGGTGAGTTGTAGAGACATGCAGAAAAGTGTGTACATTTAAATAATCTGACGATTTACACATTTTCACCTGGACATTCTCCAGCCATTCTGGTTATTTTTTTTTCGAAGGAAATTATTCCAGCATCACCTGCATCATCTGCCGATTTCCACAAGCCGAAGTAGCTAAAATTATCAATAAAATTTGGTGCTAATTGGTGCTATTTAAAAAAAAAATACCCCATGAGTTTTAGTCGCGAGAAGATCGCAGTGGAAGGTCGCCACTGAGAAGGTCGCAGTGGATCAGGCCGATAGCCACCTCTAGGAATCTAATCTAGTCGTGTCCAAATCGCCAGTCTTTTGAATAGGAACTTCTTTAGGGTCTACTTAATAGTCCTTATGAATGTTTTTTTTCTCCACCGTGCAAACAATTTAAGGCAGATTAATATCCCTCCGTTTTCAGAAACACGTGGTGCGCATGCACTATTAATATCTGAAACGAAAAAAAAAGTATTTCTTTGGGTCTTTTTTGACATTTTTGAGAATCTGTACAAGCTCCCTCTACTAGTAAAAGAGCATACAACATCATATAACCTTTTATTTAGTATCTAATTTTTACAATATAATATGTCCCCACGACGCGACCTCCGAGTAAATCCCCATTTAGCCATCTTGGGCTCCCCTACTATGAGTAATATTAAATGTCTAAAAATCAGAGATGTTTTTGAGCTTATACTACAGATGCTTTTGAGTCTTGAGTGATATGAAATACCTTTTCAATAAAGGACGTGACATATATTAATAATGTAATTTTGATAAAAAATATAAATAACGACCAAATAGAAGCTTATGATATTCGAGAGTCAGCATATGCAATATAAACTGACATATTTCTATTTAGTGGTTTGATATGATTAGTAATTCAGTCAAATTAAAAATTTGTTGCAAAAAAAAACTACAGCTTTAGAAATCTTGAAGGATTCCTTTAGACTGTTGATTTTAAGTGTGTGTGTGTGTGTGTGTGTTTAGAAAAGAAAATATGTCATTCTGAATAGAATAATATCTCATATGTCAACTTTTGACATTCTAATATATTTTAAAATTCAATCTAGCGTACCATGAATGTGCTAGAATCACTCATTTTTAATCAAGGAGCCTTGGAAAAAAAATTGATCCTCTAATGTTTTTTTAATCGCATCAATAATTTATAATCGCATCATTAATCATAACTCAATTTTTTCAAATGGAACAAGGGTGGCTCATTAACATATTTGGAAATGGATTTTTTACGATAAATTTGGTACCACATACTTTGTATTTCATTTCAAATTGAAGGGCCGAGAGAAAAAACACGATAAGCGCCAATTTCTTAATAGAGTTCTATAATATAATATTATACTAGGTGTATAAATTCTGTAGGGCAGTAAGGGGGGGCTGTTAAATCCTATGGTATATACCTAGTAAAAATATGCATACAGGGAAAGAACCTCTTATCAGGTTATTTCATTTCATTAGTTGTTTATTTCATTAGCCGGTCCGGTGCTCTCCTGTAAATTTAGTAAAATGGCGCTTATCATATTTTTTCCCTGGACCCTTCAATTATTGTCTTTATATTTCTTTTCATATCACTCTGGATTGAAATTTAAAATACTATTTTTTTAAACAAAAATATCAAAAGTGGACATTATGATATGAAGAGCACAGGGGAAGGACGATGAGTGTCCAAAAACGATAAATGTTCAGGAAAGCGTTTTTGAATTCAAATTATGCATGCACTTTTTATCGTTTTTTCCACTTTTAAATTCCTGTTTCTATGTGACCGTTATAGTTCCCGTTTATTTAGGTACCAAAAGGTGTAGCTTTTTAAGACGAAAAATATTACGCATTAAAATCAAATTAGCCAAAAATAGACTCATCGTTTTTCCCGTGTGCTCTTCATACGTTATTTTATTCATATCTATCATACGTTGTTTGATAGATATCTCATTATCTATCAAACAAAGTAAAAAAATACCTAGGTTACTATTTAAAATTCAAAAGTACTATCTATATCTTTTGATAAATTCCGTTGAAACAAGAAGTGACCGAAACTATGTGAATACTTCAGTCAATTCCGATTTATGTCTATACAGGGTGTTTCAAAACAAATGCGAAAAACTTCAGGGAGTGATTTCTTGTTCAAAATAAAGGGTAGTTTGGTAGTATAAACGTTGGGTCAAAAGTCGACCATTAGGGAGATATCACCGTACAAAGATAGCCGAAAAATAATGTTTTTATTTTTTATCTTGAAAACGAAAAGCGATAGACTAATGAAATTTTATGAAATCATTACTGTTATGAAAACACACTTTCTGGTAATTTTTTCACTTTTTTAAAATGGGTGAAAGGGGTTGAAATAAACTAACCCTGTCATTCTTGGTAACGAAATTTAAAGAAATCTTATCAAACACATGCAAAAGAATTAATTTGGACAGTTTAATTTGTTTAGAAATTTTTTTATCTCTTGTATTTTTTGATAAAACTCACCGATTTGAAATAAAAAAAATGTAAAGCATTACATGTGAGGACCAAAAATAATTTTAGGTAAATAATCTAGTGGGATGCTGTCATTTTTTAGGGAAAAATCTAGTCGGCCACTGTCACTTTTTAGGATGTTTCTAATATTATTTCATTTGACATTACTCTAGCTCAATACGTTATCTTATACATTATTTTTCCGCCATCTTTGTACCGCGATGTCTCCCTAATGGTTGACTTTTGACCCAACATTTATAAAGCAAACTACTCTCTATTTTAAACAAGGAATCACTCCCTGAAGTTTTTCGCATTTGATTTGAAACACCCTGTATACAACAATATACAAACATACCAAATCTCGTTTTTAAAAAACGCAGAGTGAGAGAGATGTTGAGTAGATGACACAGTAACTTTTTTATCTTTTCATAAGTCTGAAAAGGTAAAAAAGTTACTGTCATCTCCTCAACATCTCTCTCACTCTGCCAGTTCACTGCTACCAAAGCTGCTACCCTCATGGAATTTAGACACATGTCAACCCAAGGTTTAAAACGGACACTACACTACTCGCGAAACAAGCCGAAGTATGTCGAAATCGAATAGTAAAGATGAGGGTTATATCGTATATTCTCGTCTAATGAAAATAAACCGCAACGAGACAAAGTTAGGCGAGGAAATACAAAATATCCATCTTTACTATTCAACCTTGACATACTTCGAATTATTTCGCGTAGAGTGTAGGGGCATTTTAAGATTATTTCCGACTCTCTAGATTTTTATTCCGTCGATTTTGTTAATAATTTGACTGGAATGAATATAAAAAAGGTTCAAAAAAGGTTTTATTAGACAAGTTATAGCATGAGAGGTAACCAAGATCGTTTAATTATGCTACTTTATTAGGTTCCATATCGGGGCATGTTAGGTACAGCCGTTGGAATAACCAAAGAAGAGGGGATCCACAAATTATGGCAGGGTATACATGCTGCATTTGCTCGTCACCTGATTTATTCGGGAACGAGAATTATGACGTATAAAAGTCTGAAAGAAAAAGTTTTTAAGCAAAGTTCAAAGGATGAATATTTTCCACTTTGGAAATCAGCTATATGTAAGTATTTCGTACAGTCGATTAGAAAAAAGAAAAATATGAAGCCAAATGTAAATTTGGTTCGTGATATTTTATGACTGGGTCATACATTAATTCTTAATTCTACTACTAACTTTAGTCCTAATCTCAATAACATGAATCAATGTTCCTAACGACTGCTAAGATAAGATTAAAACTAATATCCGATAATATACAACAAAAATGTTATTTTACATAATAACGCTTAATAGAAAATTAATCATCTTTGTACTTCTGTAGTTTTTACTCGTATTTAACGTGGTTATTTTGACTGAAAATTTTTAAAATAGACTTTTAAAAAGTGTCTATTTTAGTTATTATACCGGGTGAGTTTTCTACGATGTTCTCTATGGGTATCTCGGAAACTACTGGAGATAGAGAGTTAAATGAGGAAAGAATTGCAGTTTTGTGGGTTCATAAATATGCGCCTTTCAGATTTTTGAAAAAGTTCATGGCTTACTAGATATCTCGAAAAACACAAATTTTTCCTATGTGAAAAATCGTCCCAATTCCATTACAATCTATTTTAGAAAAAAAAGTTTTTAGATAAAAGTTGTAGATGATCACATCCCTGAAAAGTTTGTGTTCTCCGATTTTTTTTAAAGCCTGTCATTTTTGACATATGACACCATAGTTAAATGGAAACCATAGTTGGCCATGACTTCATAAAAAGCGCCATTTTTTAAGCTTTTCAGCAATATAAGCTATAATATTCTTTCGAAAAATTTACTGAGTTATAGCCAATTCTTATCTTTCTTGACTAATTTTACTTAGTTGGCATAGTATTCTTATTCTGTTATGATTTATAACTTATAAAAAGACAGAATATATTATTAAACAGTTCTTTACAATTTTCATTACACAAACTAAAACTTAAAAAACTAATATCGCTACATACACTTTAAGTTATTTTCGAATATGTTCAAACAATTGTAATGTCCAATTGAAATATCTAGTAAGCTATGAACTTTTTCAAAAATCTGAAAGGCGCCCCCCTATTTAACCGACTCTCTATCTCCAGTAGTTTCCGAGATACCCATAGAGAACATTGTAGAAAACTCACTCTGTATAATTGCATGGGGGCTTTACACTATACAGGATGGTCCGAATTGTATTCGGGAAACTTTGGCAGTATATTCCGCAGATAAAAAGAAAATATAAGTAAAAAAGTTTGTATAAATGTATGTCCTAAAATGCTTCGTTTCGGAGATACAGGGTGTAGAAGTTTAATCTTTATTTCGATTTTTTCCAAATGAATTCTGAGGTAACGCCTATATTTGGGGATGAAAATTGCTGTTTGGGTTTTTTTGGCATGAGAAATTTTATTTCGATATCAGTATGACCCATACTTGTAGGGGGCGCCATCTACATATTTTTTAGCTGTTTTGAAGTGTAATAATTTTTTGTACATACCTGTATTACACTACTGAGTGAAAACATATACATTTCAAGGTCTCTTTTACAAAGGTCTCTTGGTAAAAATCGCTGCTTGTATGGTTCTCAAGATATTTGGAAACGAAATGGTCAATACATGTCATAATTGACAAAAATTATACATGTTGATTGGATAGTTATTTGTCTGAAATAATAAATTTGAAATGTTTTTGTGTCAAAGATTCAACAGAAACTGTTTTATCGTTTTTTTTCTAGAAAAATTCATAATTAGCTTAAATAAATAAAAAAGTTCCCAAATTTATTATTTCAGTCAAGTACAGTACGTTTGTCCATTCTGTAGCTACGGGGTATCCGTGAGAGGGGAAACGATATTCTCTCGATGTTTTTCCTAAAAAAATTGACGACGCGTCCCATCAATAAAAATTCAACAAATTTGCAAGTAGCCAATAAAATGAGTGGGCGGAGCGATTTGCGGTGACGCACTCGTCAAATCGACGTATAAAATATATTGCTGTTTATTTAAATGTTTTTTGTCCGCATTTCTTTCATAGACACAGATCCAGCAGATGTACTGTAACTATCTAGTCAGCATGTTTATTTTTTGGCAACAATGTCATGTCAGAGTACCTAAACCGCCGAGTAGCGACAGTCCCGTTTTCAATTTTCTTTGCGGCTGCGCGAAATAAGTAGGTTATCTGTCATACGAAGAAGCGAAGTTGCCACTGTTGCCATTTATCAAATATCTCTATATACTTTATTTCAAGTATACCTCAGGCAACGAATCGTTTTTTTAATTATTTATTAGCAGTAAGATATTTTATACATTCAAATTTAGAAATAAGGATAAAACAAAGGTATGTATAAAACTTTATAATTAATTCCACTTCAAATTGTGAGCAGTGTATACCATGTTTATAGGACCACTTCATTAGTTGAGCAGTTAAATACGTAGTCTATCTGTCAAACACGTCAAAAGAGAGAGAAAGAAAATTTGGTCCCACCACATCAAAAGAGCCGACGGTTTCTGTCGCTACTCGGCGATCTACGTACTCTGGTCATGTATTGACTATTTCCATTCCAAATGTCTTGAAAACGGTTGCTTGTAGCATTTTTTACCAAGAGACATTTTTTACCTAAAAAATGACGGAAATGTATATTTTTTCAGTAGATTTATACAGGTACGGACGAAAAGTTATTGCTCTTTAAATCAGTTAAAAAATATGTAGGTGGTGCCCTCTACAAGTAGAAGTCATATTGACATCGAAATCCCCAAATTTATCTCGTCAAAAAACACCCAGGCACCAATTTTCATCCAAATATCGATGTTAGTTCAGAAATTATTTTAAAAAATTTGAAATAAAAATGAAACTTCTACACCCTGTATCTCCGAAACGAAGCATTTTAGGACATACATTTATACGAACTTTTTTACTTATTTTTATCTGTAGAATGTGGTGCCAAAGTTTCCCGAATATAATTCGGACGACTCTGTATAACTGTCGTTGGGGCCATTACATTTTTCCAGACATCACAAAAATTAAATATTGTCCAGAAAATTTGATCACAAAACTCGTATTATTTTGCACTTATACAGTGTGTCCCAGAAATAAGTGCAAGTATTTTAACTGGTAGTATAGTTTAACCTCAGAAGCACGCCTATGAAATTTTTTGAAAAATTTTTCTTTATTAGAGAAAATATGTTTCTTTTATCGAGATCTACCGCTCCTTAAAATACTTGCACTTATTTTTGAGACACCCTTTATAGTGTGCAACTTCTTTATTCGGAACAGATAATTGTAACGACCTATTCCGATTAGCCGATCGTTGCGATTAGCGAATATACAGGGTGGTCCGAACTGTATTCCGGAATCTTCGGCAGCATATTCTGCCAGTGAAAATAAGCAAAAAAGTTCGTATAAATGTATATTTTAAAATACTTAGTTTCGGAGATACAGGGTGTAGAAATTTCATTTTTTTTTCGATTGTTTCCAAATAATTTCTGAAGTAACATCAATATTTGGATGAAAATTGTTGTCTGGAAGTTTTTTTACATGATTTGATCATGGAAATGTATATTTTTTCACTCAGTAGTTTTATACAGGTATGGGCGAAAATTTGTTACTTTTCAAAACAGTTAAAACATATGTAGGTGGCGCCTCCTACAAATAGGAGTCATATTGACATCAAAATCAAACTTCTCATGTCAAAAAATCTCAAGACGCCAATTTTCGTCCAAATATTGATGTTACTTCAGAAATTATTTGGAAAAAATGGAAATAAAAATTAAAATTTTACACCCTGTATCTCCGAAACTAAGCATTTCAAGACATATATTTATACGAACTTCTCATGTCAAAAAATCTCAAGACACCAATTTTCATCCAAATATTGACGCTACTTCAGAAATTATTTGGAAACATCGAAATAAAAATGAAATTTCTACACCCTATATCTCCGAAACTAAGCATTTTCGGACATATATTTATTCGAACTTTTTTAATTATTTTTATCTGCAGAATATGCTGCCGAAGTTTCCGGAATACAGTTCAGACCACCCTGTATACACTATATACCTACCTGGTGGTGCATCGTCGTTGGAAACATAGGAAACCCCATGCAAATTTTGAACTGTTCAAATATTGGCTCCCCTATTGATTTTTGCGAAGTCGTAAATAGATTTTTCCGTTATCGTGTGATCCGATCATAGACTTAAAATAAAATATAGACTGAGCATCTCATTCATAAATAGCTGGAACATGCGGTCAGACACTGTCTTGTTATTGTTGTGTTATTGTTTTAGGTTATAACGAGTGCGACACGAGCGATAGATAGGTTGTCTCTGTCGTAACGGTCGTTCCCTGACGACTCTGCCGAGAAACACAACACTGTCTTTCGTTTCTCAAGTACACCTGAATTCTCCGTATCATAGCCGGGTAATTTTTTATTTTAATGAAGCTATAATTAAATTAAAAATATATCGTATTTAAACTTTTTATATTTTATTAAGATTTAGGACAGGTTTTTTAAATAAAAGTTTAGAAAAAACAATTTAGAGTCCAAAAAGGATAAAAATAATAAAATACACGTTATAGAAGAAATTTTATAATCGAAATTACGTAATTTTTGAAATTAATACTAAATTATTAATTTTAGTCAAACATTTACAACCCTAATATTAATCAAAACAGGATCTATTACACAGATATAATAGAATCGGCGACAGGGAGAGAAAAAAATATAATTGTTGTAATTTTTTTTCTGGTTAAGTGATGTCTTTAGTCTTAGTCTTTCTTAAGCAAGTAAGGTGATAGGAAGTGGATAAAATGAAAACTACATTTATTTAACTCGGTACTGTCTTTATTATACCGGGTGCGTCCCAAAAATGGCTCATCCCCCATAATTTTTTTATATTTTCAAATAAAAAAACAAGATTTAGTATGTTAGTATATGACATAAATTAGCATTGATTGACGCATTCAATTGTTTTTGGTCACTTCCTGTTTCACCGGAAATGACTATAACTTTTAATTTTTAAACGGCACCCTCAGTATATTTCTACTTTATTCGATAGAAAATGACACTCTGAATAGAATGACATATCATATGTGAACTTTTAACATTTTCGCATATGATTTAACTGTAATTGTAACACGCGGTTCATAACGACAATTTGACTCGAAATACCAAGTGTGTGGTATCAATATATTCATAAAAAAATGCTTTTTCCAAATATGCTAATGAGTCACCCTTGTTCCATTTGAAAAAATTGACATATGTATGATTAAAAATACGATTTGTACATCTTTTAACCGGCCTATACAAGACACGAAACCTATTAGACGATCAAAACTATTTTTCCAAGGCTCCTTGATTAAAACTTAGTGTTTTTAACAACACCATGGCACCCTGGATTGAAATTTAAAATACGATTTGTTTTTAAGCGACAATGTCAAAAGTAGGCATATGATATGTCATTCTATTCAGAGTGTCATATTTTATCGAATAAAGCAGCAATATACCAAGGGTGCCTTTAGAAATCAAAAGATGTAATCATTTCGGTGAAAAAGGAAGAGACCAAAAACAATTGAATACGTCAATAAATCCTAATTTATGTCATATACCTACTAACATACAAACCTGTTTTTTTTTATCTGAAAAAATAAAAAAGTTATAGGGGTGAGCCACTTTTGAGACGACCCGGTATATTAAAAAATATTGTTTCATAATGTAATATCATTTTAAAATTTTTGTATGTTATTTAAGATTCTGAAGATAATTTTAGAATAAACCGGAATATATTTTTAATAAAAACATTATTAATTATTAACAGGGTTATAATTATGATTTTGTTACAATGTAAGTAAGTAAATAATGTAATGTATGAGAAAAAATCCAGATTTTACATTTTACTAAAATATTATCTAAATAAGCGCCTTTCTACAACAACGCCACTGACTCCCAATGGGTAAATTGAGAGTTGCCTACCGGTCGAAAGTCGTTTCAAGACTTAAATGGATTATTTAAGTCAAATTTCTTGCAAATTTGGCACTGGTGAACCATGTTTTATAGTTCTTGAACAGAAAATGTCAATAAAATAAACATTTAAGGACTACAAGCTAAGAAAATGCGTTAATACAGCCGAGGAGATAGCGGCAACAAAGCTTTACCGCACACGTGCGACGCGTACTACAAGGTAATACATGAATGAATAGGCTCCCTCGTCTCTAATCGGTGTTGTCATATTGTAAATAACTTATCCTTTTTAAACAGTATCCGACTTATAATTTAGTAGTATAAGGACTATTTAATACATCTATGGAATATTAAAACCTACTTTATTAAACTATAGTATTAATATCTCAATATATGTGTATAACAAGAAAAAAAATATTGAGAATATTAAAGACGTGACAACATAGGCTGGATGAGGAAGGCTCGGTCGACTGTACCCAGAAGTAAACATGTGTACAAAAAATAATGTTTGTCCGCGTTGAGATGTAAATAGTGTAGTCTATATTTTATTTTAAGTCTATGGATCCGATTAAGGAGGTTGCACTCTACAGGGTGGGTCAAATTCGACGCTTCTAAATGGAAACACCCTTTTCTATTGGAGATAGACGAAAACTAATATCGGTGTCTGGAGCTCAATTTTCATCAAAAACATGATGGTGAAAACCGCACATCAATATCTGTTACCGTTTCGGAGTTACGGGGTGTTTTTCAAAAATGTGCATTTTTAACAAATCGCTGTAACTTTTTTGCTATGGAAAATTTTGTATTTCTATGAAAACATTTCCAAAGCACCTTTTGACGTAGAATTTAATGGTTTAAGTATAATTTTTTTAAAATTAATAATTTAAGAGTTATCAACAGAAAAATTGATTTTTTATTTGGGACATCCTCTATATTTTTAATTAACTAAAAAGAATTTAAAATTTCCTTTCGAAAAATATAGCACACTTGATTTTTTTTATAATCCCCTTCGAAATACAGAATTTTTAAAAGTTCGCCACTTTTAACTAGTAGGCTTTGGACCCCTTATTGATGATATGCCCTTAATGGAACTCGAAAACATATTTTCCCAGCAAGACGACGCACCGCCTCTGAACGCTGAAGTTATCAGCAAATTTTTGAAGCCAATTTCAAGTATAATTGAATAGCTAACCCAGATCCCAGCCGTTGGCCGTCGAGGCCGCCTGACTTAGTGCCCATGGATCTAATCCTATGGCCTATATTTGCGGAAGAATAAAGGTTCTTTATTCTTCCGTATAATCTAGACAAGAATTAGAAATACCTAGCAGTTATGAGAGGGTATCTTTCACCCCCACTGAGTTAATGAATTCCTCGAGAAATGTTCAAAAACTGACCCGTCTGTCTATAACAGAAGACGGTCGATATGTCGAACACCTGTAGCAAAATCTCTTGTCTTGGTTTGCTATTTATTTTTATTGTTATGAGATATAGTCTAAATGTGGTGATGTTGGTTAAATATATTTTAAATTGTTATAAAATTCTGTATCTCTCGTAGCAAATATTATTTTCGTTTTAATTGATGCTCACAGCTAGAATTTTTACCTAGCCGGTGCCGTTCAAAGCCTACCACTATTTATTTATTTAAAGGGGGCGAATTTTTATATACTCTATATCTCGAAGAGGAATCGAGCAAACTATCAAGTATGTTATATTTTTGGAAAGGTAATTTTAAATTCTTTTCAACAATTTAAAAATATACAGGGTGTCCCATATAAAAATCAAATTTTCTGTTGATAATTCTTAAATTATTAATTTTAAAAAAATTATACTTAAACCATTAAATTCTACGTGAAAAGGTGCTTTGGAAATGTTTTCATAAAAATACAAAATTTTCCATAGCAAAAAAGTTACAGTGATTTGTTAAAAATGCATATTTTTGAAAAACACCCCGTAACTCCGAAACGGTAACAGATATTGATATGCGGTTTTCACCATCATGTTTTTGACAAAAATTGAACTCCAGATACCGATATTAGTTTTTGTCTATCTCCTATAGAAAAGAGTGTTTCCATTTAAAAGCGTCGAATTTGACCCACCCTGTACTTGTAAGAACTTGTAATTAGTTAATAACTACATTATTTAAGGTGGGGTTAGCGCTGGCGCAATCGCACAATATATCGCTAGTCCAACTGACTTAGTAAAGGTTCAACTGCAAATGGAGGGTAGAAGAAGATTGATGGGTCTACCACCAAGAGTCCATGGAATTTTTGACGCATTTAAGAAAGTTTGGGCTTCTGGCGGCGTTAGAGGATTGTGGAAGGGTAAGTTTTATATATTTGTTCTTTTGAGAAACTAGCATAAATTTTCCAATCAAATCTGCAAAACAAAAGCAAAATCTATATCTTCATTGTAATTTGTTATGGTTGTAAGTAGGTCTGTTCCAAAAACCGGTGTACTGGTTGCCAAATATTGACTACCGGTATTATAGCCACAACCGATTTTTTGTCCAAAACCGGTGTTGATCTCGACACTGGTGTATATTTTGATGCCGGTTTTGAATACCGGTTTTAAACCGATTGTGACACCGTCTTACACAAAACATCGGTGTCAAGGATATACTTACTACGAGTATAATGCTATCCATGTATTCATGCACGGTAGACGGAGAGAGGGCCTTAGGGTGGGGAACCTTGACAGTTCTGTTTGACGATTCATTTGGCATATTTGAATTTGATTTTAAATTTTGTGGATTTGTCAGTCTTTATTGAACTTATTTTATGTTATTTATTATTTATTCTAACACTGATAGTTGTTTAAATATAGTAAATCTAGAAGGAAATTGTAGTAGAACTTAAATTAACAGTGACACTATTGCGATTTATCGAAAAAGACTGTAAAATAGTTGGTTGTGTAGCGTGCGGTAGATCTCAGTCAGAAATCGAGGAAAATAAAGGAATAACTTATCGCTACTAAGTGTCTATATAGGGTGGTCCGAACTGTATTCCGGAAACTTCGGCAGCTTATTCTGTAGATAAAAATAAGTAAAAAAGTTCGTATAAATATATGTCTTGAAATGCTTAATTTCGGAGATACAGGGTGTAAAATTTTAATTTTTATTTCCATTTTTTCCAAATAATTTCTGAAGTAACATCAATATTTGGACGAAAATTGGCGTCTTGAGATTTTTTGACATGAGAAATTTAATTTTGATGTCAATATGACTCCTACTTGTAGAGGGCGCCACCTACATATTTTTTAACTGGTTTGAAGAGTAATAAATTTTCGTCCGTACCTGTATAAAACTACTGAGTAAAAAAATATACATTTACGACGTTTTTTACATAAAAAAGATCTCTTGATAAAAATCGCTACAAGTAACAGTTCTCGAGATATTTGGAATTGAAATTATCAATACCTGTCATCATTGACATAAATTAAACATGTTGACTAAATAGTTATTAGACTAAAATCATAAATTTGAAATATTTTTGTGTCAAAAATTCAACAGAAACTGTTTGATCATCATTTTTTCACAGAAAATTTATGATTAATTTAAAAAAATTAAAATTTCCCTAATTTATTATTTCAGTTAAATAACTATCTACTCAAGGCGTGTTTATTTTTTGTCAATAATGACATGTATCGACTATTTCCATTCTAAATATCTTGAGAACGGTTGCTCAAAACGATTTTTACCAAGAGATATTTTTTACGCAGAAAATCACGGAAATGTATATTTTTTCACACAGCAGTTTTATACAGGAACGGACGAAAAGTTATTACTCTTCAAAACAGTTAAAACACATGTAGGTGGCGCCCCCTTCTAGCAGGATTCATATTGACATCAAAATCAAATTTCTCATGTCAAAAAACTTCCAGACACCAATTTTCAACCATATATTGACGTTACTTCAGAAATTATTTGGAAAAAATCGAAATAAAAATGAAACTTCTACACCCTGTATCTCCGAAACTTAGCATTTAAGGGCATACATTTATACGAACTTTTTTGCTTATTTTTATCTAAAGAATATGCCGCCGAAGTTTCCGGAATACAGTTCGGACCACCCTGTATAATATATACGTGTAGTAAACCAATCATTTATGAAATTCACTTAAAATTAACTAATTATATATTTTTTCTTCCATTTTTGCTTTTATTTACTACTTGCAGAGCTACATGTCAAAGATTAGATGTCAAAGAATTTAGATACGTCAATTTGACTTTGCCGTATCTCGTATGTTTGTGTTATTAAATAATTATTATTACTTATCTATTTTTATAAGAATTATGTATTTTTATAACAATTTTAATAACTTCCAACATTTATTGACAATGTACACCACACAATGTACCCCATGTCTACCCTGCATCAAATTTTTACACGTTTTGAATAAAATTAGAACGGTACTGATAAATCGGAATTTAAATCGGCCATTCTAGGACCTTGTCGCGTTCGATCTAAGATTTTTGATATGCTCCTCCCTTAATATTTTTATTCAGTTTTTATTCAGTATTTCAGGAAAATATGTTCACTTATAGTTTTCACCACTATACATAAAACCGAATTAATATTCGTCGTTCGTTAAATTTTTATAAAAACCACCTAATGATTTTTTGTGTTATATTTTACTTCTAATATTGACTTGGTGCATTCGCCGGCTTGGCGGAAGAATACCGTAAACAGCCGACTAAACAAATACACGGATTTAAATAGCGAATATACTAAAAAATTGTGAAGTGAAAGTGAATTTACGAAAAAGTGAAATTGGTGAAAATTCTAAAAAAGATTAAAAATATAAATCTTTTGATATCTGCGGAAGGTCTAACGTGTATTATAATTTATTACTCAAGCTAATAAAACTTTTTAGATTAGTAATAACGCGCCGGCTGCTTTAACTACGGTAGCGATCATAGTTTTATGCACCGGTTTTGCTAGTTGGGACATAAATAGGGCTATCTGAACGGTAACGACATTTTTTAAAGGTACATAATTATAATTTTTGAAAACGCCCATAAATAATTAAGCACTAGTAGATTAAAACGAAGTAACATTGATTAAATTATTGATAATTATAATTTTAGTAGATGTTTATAAAAATTTAAGCACTAGTTGAATGATACAATTAATATTGATTAAATTATACAGGGTGGTAGATCTCGATAAAAGAAACATATTTTCTCTTTACCATTTTCAGTCCAAAATAACCGAGTTATTTAAGTTTCAAAATTTAAAAAAAATATTTTTTTTTTTGAAAAAACTTTGAGAGCCACCGGATTTTTTCTGTGTTTGCATTCCTTTTATTGCCGTAACCATAGAGTAAAGCCGTAACTATGGTAATATCTAAGATTAAGGAATTATACCGTGGAAAAATATGCGGTGAACAGGCAGTTCTAAAAAGTTTTTCGAAAAATATACAGGGAATTTTAAAAGAAAATGCACAATTTATAACATCTTTTTTTAGCCAAAAAAACTTCATAGACGTGTTCCTGGGATCGAAATATAGCACCCCTAAAAATATTTGCACTTATTCAAGACTCACCCTGTATTTTATTCTTATATAATATATGCTTATTTTTTTTGATTATGTAATGGCCACTTTGTTCACTTACTTATTTCGTCGAACTGCCTAAATATAGATATATTTAATTTTGATAAAATCGGTGTGATAAAACTGAGAGTGTTATTGCTCTCAATAACCACGCAATTACGCCCTCCTTATCTTGTTGACATTTTCTCGGCAATTTTATTATCATTTGAAATTGTCAAAACACAACGAGTCGCCCGTCGCCCAGTTTATTCTTTTTCACTTAATTTTTACTACCCGAAACAGCGTTACACCATACAAACTTTGTACAAGACAATTTTGTTGTTTTAATAACTGCACTCGGAAAAACAAAGTACCTAAATGTTATGTTAGCCATGATTTCCATATTATTTCAATGCGATAAACGTGAACGGTAACCGCGATGGCGTGAAATAAACTATGTCGGACAGTTGTGATTTCTGTGGGACCGAGCGCTGCTGTCGGAATTTTACAAATTGATAGAAACCCACCAAACCTATAGGATTTTCAACGCATTGTTGCAGGGCCCGGTATAGGTCGTTGACAGTTTTGATTTGTTTGGACTATTTCAATATAGCTGTTTTGACACTTTTTTTGAATTTAGGTTCTGTACCGAACGTTCAGAGGGCTGCTCTGGTAAATCTGGGTGATTTAACGACATATGATCTGATGAAGCGGTCTATTCTAAGACATACGTCACTACCGGATAATCATTTGGTACATGTACTGGCAAGCTGTGGAGCTGGATTTGTAGCAGCCTCCATGGGAACACCTGCTGATGTTATCAAAACTAGGGTTATGAATCAGCCACTAGATGATCGAGGAAGGTAAGGCGATATACCGTGTGTATGCCTGAACATAGGATTTCCCATGTTAATTCATAATTTAAAAATTATGAATAAGTTTCCCCCATTTTATTTTGCAGGAAAAATTATTTGAAACTTTGTTTTAAGAGCTTCCTAAAATGAAGCAAATTGTTCATTTTCAATAATTCATATGTACTCGTTTTTGATTTATGAGAGATACAAAAATACTAAATTGGGCGAAAATTTAAAATAACCTGAGGCGCTATTCTGTACAATCGTCGGTATCGGTAAGTTACCGACAGCTATCGGTACGTATTTGTATATAGTAAACATGTGTTGATTGTTGTTGTCATAGTTATCGATCGGTCCTATGACAGATATTGCAAATTTGTACCGACGAGGATCGGTATCTCTACCGTGCCCTTGTTAACCCCACGGTAGAAATACTGATAGTCGTCGGTACAAATTTGCTATATGTCCTATTAATGACAGCTCAAAACTATGACAACAACAATTTACACGACGCTCATTGGCCGTACGTACCAATAGCTGTCGGTATCGGTAAGTTACCGACAGCTATCGGTACGTATTTGTATATAGTAAAAATGTGTTAATTGTTGTTGTCATAGTTATCGATCGGCTCTATGGCAGAAATCGCACATTTGTATCGACGAAAATCGGTATCTCTACCATGCCCTTGTTAACCCCACGGTAGAGATACCGATAGTCGTCGGTACAAATTTGCGATATCTGTCATAGGGCCGATCGGTAACTATGACAACAATTAACACATATTTACTATATGCAAATACGTACCGATAGCTATATAGATAGCCCCTGGGGCGCTATTCTGTACAATCGTCGGTATCGGTAAATTACCGACAGCTATCGGTACGTACGGCCAATGAGCTTCGTGTTGATTGTTGTCATAGTTTTAGCTGTCATTAATAGGACATATAGCACATTTGTACTGACGACTCTCGGTATCTCTACCGTGAGGTTACAAGGGCACGGTAGAGATACCGATCCTCGTCGGTACAAATTTGCGATATCTGCTATAGGGCCGATCGGTAACTATGACAACAACAATTAACACATTTTTACTATATAAAAATACGTATCGAGAGCTGTCGTAACTTACCGATACCGACGATTGTCGATGCCGTGTACAGAATAGCTCCCCTGGGGCGCTATTCTCTAAAATCTTTGTCATAGTAAAATTGTCATAGTTTTAGCTGTCATTAATAGGACATATAGCACATTGGTACTGACGACTCTCGGTATCTCTACCGTGAGGTTACAAGGGCACGGTAGAGATACCGATCCTCGTCGGTACAAATTTGCGATATCTGCCATAGGGCCGATCGGTAACTATGACAACAACAATTAACACATTTTTACTATATAAAAATACGTATCGAGAGCTGTCGTAACTTACCGATACCGACGATTGTCGATGCCGTGTACAGAATAGCGCCCCTGGGGCGCTATTCTCTAAAATCGTTGGTATCGGTAAGTTACGACAGCTCTCGATACGTATTTGTATATAGTAAAAATGTGTTAATTGTTGTTGTCATAGTTACCGATCGGTCCTATGGCAGATATCGCAAATTTGTACCGACGAAAATCGGTATCTCTACCGTGCCCTTGTCAACCTCACGGTAGAGATACCGAGAGTCGTCGGTACAAATTTGCTATATGTCCTATTAAGACAGCTCAAAACTATGACAACAACAATTTACACGACGCTCATTGGCCGTACGTACCGATAGCTGTCGGTAACTTGCCGACTATCCGACGATTCTACAGAATAGCGCCCTGGTCCTGATCAAACAAATACAGGGTGATTACGATACGATGTCCTCTATGGAACGATGTTCTCTATCTCGGAAACTATTGGAACTAGAGAGACGGTTAAATGGAGAAAAGAATTGCAGTTTTGTGAGGACGAACAGATGCACCTTTCGTATTTTTGAAAAAGTTTATGGCTTCTAGATGTTTCGAAAAAACAAATCTCGTCTCCTTTAAAAATGCTCCCCTAATTCCATTATAATCTATTTTATGCCGCAACGGAACATGCGGCATTTAGCGAACTCCGAGCGCTCGTCAACTACCGAGCACTCGTGATCGGACTTCGCCTTTCCATCCACACATGCGGGCTCTGATAGCAATAACAGAGACGAGCGTTCGTTCTCGTCGCCGAACTCCGACTTCCCCATCCACATACATAGAAATCGGAAAATGCCGCATGTATGGTTGCGGCATTAGACAAAAAGTTTTCAGGTAAAATTGTAGATAATCACATTTTTAACGAAATTGTATTCTCCGTTTATTTCAAAGCCTATCATTTTTTGACATATGGCACAAACATATGTTTTTAAATGGAAATCATAGTTGGCCACGACTTTTCAGAGATATACGTTTACGTATTTGTATATAGTAAAAATGTGTTAATTGTTGTTGTCATAGTTACCGATCGGTCCTATGGCAGATATCGCAAATTTGTACCGACGAAAATCGGTATCTCTACCGTGCCCTTGTCAACCTCACGGTAGAGATACCGAGAGTCGTCGGTACAAATTTGCGATATCTGTCATAGAGCCGATCGGTAACTATGATAACAACAATCAATACGACGCTCATTGGCCGTACGTACTTATAATTAAATTATTGTAAATTTTTCAAATGAAGAAAATCATGTAGGATTCTTGGACCATTCATTTTCGAGGATACATTGACCAGTGAACGTTAATTACGCTTTTTAGAGAACGGTTTTCAAAACATGTTAGAAAAGTTAAAAATTATGCTCCCCCTCATAATGGAAGAAATGTTAAAAATTATTTATACCAGAATTATGTAAACTCAGGGAGACCTCCTCTGTCACCTAACCTATCCGTTTTAGATTTTTTATGCGAACAAGAGAACTTATGAATCAAGAAAGGCAATCAGTGGCGGATTTTTTGAACATTTGCTAAAATAACTTAAAGTGTATGTATCACAATTTTTAACTCTGTGGTATGTATAGTTCATATCAAATAAACTTTTAGTCACGTGATTAAGCTTGACCGGCACAGCGTTGCCCACTTATATATATTTTCTTTTAATCAATATATTTTAGGAAACAAAAATAAATTAATTATAATTTACCTCAAAATGGACAAAATTATCAGGACTTTTCTTAATTAAAAAATAATTTCGGGTCGGTTGAAACCAATCTTGGCACGTGGATAGAGGTACCCGAATGGAATCTTCAGACGGACAGACGGCCATTTTAATAAGTACAAATTTTGTGAAAGCCAATCAAATTGTTTTTTAATTTCTAATTTATTAATTTTCAACATTTCAAACGACACTTTTTCAAACATGTTATTCAAATCCTTCAATTTAATAGCTGTTTTTTATCTTTCAAAACTCGAAAAGGAATTCTTAGAAGCTATTAAAAATTAACAGTTTGCTTCATTTTAAAGAGTTCTTTAAAAAGTTTCATTTTTTACACATGTTCGATTCTTGAATTGCTATTTTATTTTCAGAGGACTTTTATATACATCTTCACTGGATTGTTTAAGAAAAACTATACAATCCGAAGGTTTTGGGGCACTTTATAAAGGGTTTATTCCCATTTGGATGAGGATGGCGCCATGGTCGTTAAGTTTTTGGTTAACTTACGAAGAAGTCGTCTCATTAATGGGCGCTAAAGCATGGTAGTAGTAAATTTAGCATCTGTTGTAGTATATTTATTGTTATTTAGTAACTTTTATAGGTGTATATAAGATAGAGAAGAACTTTATACAATGAAACGTATTCTTTTAATTAAAATAAAATTTTAAATGAACCGTGAAGGCAAATAAAGACTTTAGACTATTTTATAATATTTATTTTAAATTAATTTAATTAATTTGGATGTGTGTTAATCTTTGTTCTGTACGGCTGGTAAGAAATAGAATTATTTGTTTTTTATTTAGAGTTAGAAATTATTTGGGTTTGAAAATTGGAAATAATAAATGGGCTATTTTTTAAAATATTTTATATCTATTATTGTAACAATTTATGTATTCAACAGAGAAACAAACCATCTTATGTAATTACAGACACAGGCACAGGATCAAAATATGCCAAAAAAATCGCAACAAATCGATTTTTTTATAATTGGGTTAATGAAAAAAATTATCTCTAAAAAAATAATCTTTATCCAAATGCGAAATGTGGGTTTAGGTGACAAAATATCGATCATATGATTTTAAATCGATTTCCCAAGTTTCCTAAATATACAGGTGATTTAAAAAGTATCAGCTTATTTAAAAAGGGTTTATTTTTGGTTTCAAAAAGACACTAATAAGAATAATTTCTAATGCTGTATTTTTCTTTTACTGTTTCGCAAGAAATTGCAAATAAAAATATTGCGACTATGTTGCAATGGCTTCTAAAAAACAAAAATTTTCAATTAACACATTAAAAGTTCCCTGTTGGATTTATTCCCTAGACCATTGTTCAGGATAGATATAAAAAAAGTCCTATAAACATGGGTGCGGAAATGCATAGTGTTAAAGTTACAGGATGTTAAAACTTTTAAAATATAGGCTTTTTGTAATTATCTTAATTATCATAATTTTTGGGGGGAATTTGCTGTATTTAGCGCTGTACATCAGTGTTATACATTTTAGTAAAATTTAGTGATAAATTACATTAAAGAAATAATTTATTATTTTTATTTTAATTTTATTAATTGTGATTAACTGTACTGATTAAAAGTTGTTTCTTGATACTTATCAAGATACGACTTTTATCGACATTAAACAGCTTACACACTTTTGCTAATAAGATGAAAAAAAGGCAATGGCGCATACGTTTTTTTGATAACCCATATGCACGTCCCTGGTGAATCGGTCGACACTTTTTAGCTTTAAAATATGTAGTACTGATAGTAACTTTTACCCTCCAAATCTCATTCGAATATGTTGTAGAAAAAGTACTTTGAAGAAAATTATAATAAACCGAAAAAAAAATGAAGAGTATTCTCCTAGCTACGAAACAAAACAGATTCGGACCCAGGTTAGTATGAAAAATAAATTTAATTTTTGCTTGAGGAATCTCCCCACGAGAGATGATGGCACGTTCTTTAAAGATCCTGTATACGTTTACAGCGGGTAGTAACTATGGTATTTGCAAAACAATTTCCGATGCAGGTCACAATCAACTTTAAGTGACAAACGATGGCGACAGCGCTGGCAGATTGTGATAGATTTATGAGATGAATCTTAATTTCAAAGTGACAAATAATATATTTATTATATCATTTTTTAAAAACTTTTACGTTTTATTTTTAATTTAATCTATACTAATATATAAAATCCTTAAGTGACTGACATACTGATTAATCACGATCCTGCTCAAACTACTCAACGTAAGAAGCTCAATTTTGGCATACAGGTTGATTCTAGGGTGTAGAGGTTCGATAAGAAGGGATTTTTCGAAATTCCAGTTCCAAGAGGGTGAAACCACCCCTCAAATATTACAATATTTTTATTTAAAAAACGGTCAAGTTTCCGAAAAACGCTTAAACACGTATATTTTATTTTGTTTTTTTACATATTTTAAGATTTTTTAAAAATGTATACAGGGTGTTTCGAAAAATCTGGTCATTGATTAATCACGATCCTGCTTAAAGCGCTTGACGTAAAAAGCTGATTTTTGGAAAACAGATTGACTTTAGGGTGAAGAAGTTCGATAAGAAGGGATTTTTCGAAACTCGAATTCTAAGGGGATGAACCTATCCCTCAAATATTAAAATATTTTTTTATTTAAAAACCGGTGAGTTTTTCGAAAAAACTCTTAAACACGTATATTTTATTTTGTTGTTTTACATATTTTAAGATTTTTTATAAATTTATACAGGGTGTTTCATAAAATATGACCATGGAGTAATCACGATTCTGCTTAAACTGCTTGACATTTAAATCTGATTTTTGGTAAACGGATTGACTGTGGGGTGTAGAGGTTCGATAAGGAGGGGTTTCTCGAATCTCAAATTCCAAGAGGGTAAAAACGCCCCTCAAATATTACAATATTCGTTATTTCAAAATCGGTTAGTCTTTCGGGAAAACGCTTAGACAAGCATAATGTATTTGGTTTTTTTACATATTTTGAATTTTTTTAAAAAATCATACAGGGTGTTCCAAAAAAGTTGGGTAATTTCTTATCCACGATTCTGTTTAAACTGCTTGACGTAAAAAGCTTATTTTTGGTAAACGGGTTTTTCGAAAGTCAAATTCCAACGAGATGAAACTACCCCTCAAATATTACCAAGTTATATAATAATATCGCCATATTGTTTTTTCTCATGCTGACATAAATGTGAGAAAATTTTATCCAGTTTTTATGTTAATGGAAATTCTTGCTTTGCTTTATCATCACCATTACAAATGATTAATTCGACGCGAACGAAGTCGCTGGTACACGCTAGTAACTAATATTTTAGTAATTAATTGATTTATTTGTTTTATAGTTTATTTTACTTAATACATATTGGCAAAAACTAGTCCATGAATATTATTATTCTAAGCGTTATTATATGAGTTGTTTATTTATTTATTGGTGTACTTACCAAATCTTACAACGCCATAAGTGGTAATAACAAGTAAGAGGGTGTTATTAATGCACAAACTAATAATCACAGAATTTAATTAAAACTAACGTAGAAATAACTTTGAAAGTGATGTAATGTTGCTATGCTTATCAATCAAACTTAATTCTCTGACTGCAGTCAAGGTCAAGGGTAATAAAGGACAGAAGTGTCTAGCCCCAGCAGGCAACTATTAAGCTTGACCAATCAGGTTGGTTAGCGTGGTTATTTGGAGTGTGTTAATTCATTGGTTTTTGTCAAAAACTCTAACGTGATTGGTCGGGCTTAATAGGCCTGCTAGGGCTAGACACAAGTATAAAGGACCTTTATTGTCACGTTCTCGATCAAAATAGTTTATCAGGGAAGCTACAAGCTTTTTGCTTCGACTGTTTAAATGCTTCGGCATATTTTCAACACACAATCTCAAAAAATGCAATACAAAAACTCAAAAATTTAGTTCTTCAAAAAACTGTTTGTGCTTAAAAGTATAATTTAAAAAAAAATACTATGAAAATGGGCAAAAAACGAGAATTACTCCCAGAGATTCAACAACAACACGATATTATACAAAATAATGACTGATATTAGGGTAATTGTTAAATAACAAACGACAACCTTGCTGAAAACGGCGCAATGTAATATAGCGATAATAAAATTCGGTTTGAACTAATTTTTGTAGCTTTAATCTAAATTAAATATCTGTTACAATCATTTGCTGTATAAAGTAAAATGAAGAGCTGCTCGGTATCCTAAATTATACAACAAATTTAAACATTTTTGCCAACATTGCATTTAGTCATTTATAGACTTTAGTGTCAATGTCGATATCAGGCCCTAGACACTCGACTACAAATTTAGTTTCTTCCGCATCGCCAGACGGCGCAAAAGACATGAAAGTACAGGTTTCTAATTTATATACGAAGATGACATGACATCTTCTCTATTTACTATCATCTATGGTCTAGTTTTGATCTAGTTGTCAAAATGTTGGTGATCCGTCAAATTATTTTTAAATCATTTTTAAATAATTATTAATTCAGATATTCCTGATTTGCCGGAAAGTTAGGTGATTTGTGTTTATAGTTTGTGTTTTTATTAGTTTGTGCATTTTGATATTTACGGCCGATCACCATTTTCGTGTTAGATACTAAACTTTTTTATTAAAGACATTTTTTAAACATCTTAGGAATAATATATTTATGAACGAAATAAAAAAATGTTTAATTTTAAATAAGTACATAGTTGGTAAAATAGTATTTTTAGTAACAGTACATTAGTAGTCTATAATATTTTTACTATATTATAATTTATTTGTTAAATCAAAAAAATTGGCGCTATGTGCTCTGTTGTTGGTGTTTAAAATGTACCTATGTATTCATAATTTTATTTTTAGTTTTGAATATGTTACACTTCTAATGATTTAATAAAACAAGATATAGTAAACAAGTCTATATTTTTTATATGTTACAAGGAATAATTTTGTGCTTTAATAACGTTACCATTTTAGTTAGCGTTAATAAATAACGGAACGCTAAAATTCTGTCATGCCAAAACTCTCCATTAGTTTCTTCCGGATAACCAGGTGGCTCTAAATGAAGGAATTATTTGTTTTATATCAGTGTCCAATCTATCTCTAGTAGGTGACATTAGTCTATGGTCGATATGATTGATGACGTGCATCGGAAAATGTTTTGCGATTACAATAAGTATATTCATTAGAATAGAACATTTTTTTTGGACTATTTTCGATATTTTGTCACCTAACCGCTCCATATGTAAAAAAAAGTTTTTTGTAGTCAGTCATCGCTACTATGGTAGTTGTGACATGACATTATCTTAAAATGTTTTTTTTTATATTGGGTATGAAAAAGAAATCCCGTATAATGTTTTTTAAACTTAATAGTAAAAAATATGTTCGTTGCGAAGTTCTTAACACACCTTGTATACATATTCAGGGTGGGACTGGGCCATAGGGGCACGGGTGGATTTTCTGCGTATTTTTTTGCCTTACGTTTTGGTCAAATTTCCCTATATTGATTTGTTGTTAGTGTTTGAAATCAGGGAACTACCCGTAATGTAATGTAAATGTAAATATTGTTAAACCAAAAAAAGTTTTGGGGATAACCTGAGAATATTACCGTCATTTTTTTCTGTTTTATTTCTACACTGAAAAAAGAAACTACAACATTGTACGACAGATTGTACTTAGATTTTTGTAAACAAATGACGCACAATTGTTGTATTAATTCAGTTATTATTCTTCCTCAACTCAGTTTACAACAATGCCTCAGTATCAAAAATATAGTTGGTAGTTCTACAATTTGTAATAATGATTTTCATTTAAATTTCAACGAGTACAATCTGAATATTCTCTGACATAAATTGTGGTAATTACCACTACATTTGTTCGCTATTTTCGTATAAAATCAAGCATATTTAACTATTTTGGAGATCTTGTAATAGAAATAAAAGCTAGAACGTGATGCTTAGTACCATGTTAGATGCAAAATGCAGCAATGTTTTCTATAATTGTGGGGTTTATTACAATTTATTTTCCGTGTATTTAAGAATAAATAATGACCTATTTTACATGTAAGTCCTAAGACAGGGGGGGCCGCGAAGGCTGGGGCCCGGGCGGCAAACGCCACCGTGACTATATGGCCGGTCCGACCCTGTACATTATAGGTAAACGTGTTTGAGATAATTAGAAAAGTACTTATAGGGAAATTAAAATAATTTTGGTTGCACATCATAATACGACCACCAGCAAACTCCATAAGACGACGCATGGTGTCATTGATGACGTGCACCCAAAGTTGTTTTAATTTCCCTATATATGGTTTCTTAAAGAAATTAAGTTCTATATGTTCGTGTGTTACAGTTATTGGCAGGTGAAACAGCTGATTTTGTTTTTATGTTTGGCTTGACTTTTGATTAATTTTATATACAAGTTATGTATCACAACATAAAGCTAGATCCTTCTGCAAGCGAAATTTTCGAGAGCGATTTTTTTAAATGACAGAAATCTATGTTACAGTGAGTTACTACGGCGACTCCATACGGTATACCACGCTTCGATATTATCACCAGTTTTGGCGCTCTAGTAAGTGCAATCTTAATCTCAAAACTTACTCAACCCGTTTATGTAAGCCCCTCCCTCTAGCATTTTCACGCCCTGTGCAGCATAGCCTAACCAAACACCTTCTAAGCCACAAAAATTGACACAAACCATTCCTTTCGCGGATGACCCCGTCAAGGGACCTTCAGCCATGGATCGGAACATTTTCAGAGTCGGAAAGGTCCCACTATTCGTCGGCTCGTTCCAAAAGCATGGAATCTGTTAATTCCTTGACACCCAGTCTAATGAATCAGAGTGTCATTATGATACTGATTCAAGTGAATCTACACCCTTTATCGACAAAGAAGCCTAGAGTCAGTGGAAGCTGAGCTTCATAGTCTTAGAACCAGCATAGATTTAATCGAAAATACCTTGAAAAAACACGGCTGCGATCCTGCGAAGGAATTCGATCAGCCTGATGTCTCCTCTAGTCCTAAGTGGATGATCTTAAGGAAGAAAAGATTCCGTCAGGTCAGCTCTGACAACGACTCTACTTCTACTACCTCAACCAGCAGAAACAAAAAGATAGTAGCTAGGACTTTCAAGAGTCAACTCCAACTTCAAGCAGCCTCGTTTAACAGAGTCCTGCTGCAAAATCCTCTCCTGCTGCTCGTTCTATGCAACAGCCTCAAGTATTTCAAAAATTTGAAGCAATTGCTTTCCATATCTATTTTTTTCTCTGAAGAAAGGCGACGATTGAAGACGATCTTACATCACACAGGGCTTCGATGTCAAAAAAGTAGAGCGCATTGTTTGAAAAAGCCTCTGTCGTCAAGGTCATATTCCCCGTCATCAAACCTCAATAGGTATACAATATTTGCTCAGTGTCCGCGTCCAAGCCCAAATTCGTGGTAATGGCACCAACCAGTGCTACAACTGTTAGCAATTCAAGTCAAGTGTGATAAAACACATAATACTAAATCCTGCAGCACGTCAGTGAGTTAGTGTCGGTGACTCCGAAAAGTGCACATCGAAAATTAAAGTAAAGAATCCCTAGATTCATTGGAAATTGAATTTCATAATATTAAAGGCTTAATCGAAGCAATCCTAATTACCCTGAAAAAACACGGCCGTACCCCGAAAAAAAAAACGATCAGTCTGATGTCTCCTCTTGTCCTAAGAGGAAGGTCTTGGGGAAGAAAAGCAACTTTGACGATTCATCCTCTTCCACAATCATTAGTAAAAAGATAGCAGCAAGGGCTGCTTCACCAAATCGTCAAAACAACGTCCGCACCGTGGCTTTGCTCAGTGTTTGCATCGAAGCCCAAAAAACTGCCAGCTATTCGGGAACTGTGCTACGAATTGCTTCGCCCCTGCCCGTTGTATTAAGTGCGACAAAATTCATAGCACTAAATCCTGTAGTAAGAAAGAGGACCGTCCTGCAATTTGTAAAAACTGTGTTGGCCCTCATCCTGCTAATTATATACTCTGTTCTAAGAACCCAAATAACCTAGCAAATCGGCCACCTTCTAAGAAAGATCAGCCCAAGAACCTTACGAGACCCTCAGGTTTTCGATCGAGACTGCCATCTCCAGATTTCCTTTGTCCGGACTGTCTCACTCTGTGTCTTACTTTCGTCGGGGTAGGACGAAGTGTGGTGTGTTGATTCTCAGTCCGTCTGAAATCTAACCACAAACTTTGTAAGGGGCATAGCTCTGTTTAAAAACATAACCGCAATTAGGCATTCCAAACCACGTGATTTTAAAATGGCGGCTGGGGGCAAGGTCAATGAAGCCGATCAGCTGTTCTGTCATAATTCTATCGATTGAGGTTTTAGTTTTGTATTCAGTATATATTTTTTTAATAAAACATATCTATTGGGCCATCAGTATGTGTAAAAAATAATAGAAATAAATAAAAAGTATCTTTCTTATTGTTTATTCGACAATTGTATATTTTTGTTAAGGAGTATAACAGTATATAGTACATATTCGTTTATTACGATATATAAACAATAAGCTAATTTTGTAATTTACACTCGTGAAAATAAGAATTACAATATAATGTTATAAATAAATAAATATTTGAGTAACAATCAATAATACAATGCGATTCCTAAATGCCATTTTAAAACAATATGTCATATTTTTAGAGCATCGTAGATGGATTGGACCATTCTATTTATAAGGTTTTATACCTTTTGTATAAATCATTATTGATTACTTTAAATGTTGTTGAGGCTGTAGCAAAAGACACTTTAAAACAATAACCCAAATCTTTTAAACTTGCTTAGAGCTGTCGTTTGTGTAAATGGTATGTAATCTGCAATCAGGCGAAATTACTTATTTTAGATGTTGCAAAACTAAGCTGCTCAAATTTGTTGCATAAGTCATCCATCGTGATATATGTTTGTATACTAAAACTGTTGATTCGAACATTTGTTTCAATCACACGATGAGGTTCTGCTTCAGACGTGTTAAGAATGGCCTATAATAAATATCAAAATTAGTATATGTATTTTAAAATCTGAACAGTTGTCAGTAATCTCACTTCATATTGTACTTTTCTTCTTTAGTCTGCCCTTAGTTTTCTCTCAATATCATCCTGTCTTTTTCTCAGATATATACAATTATGACCCATGTCTTGTGACGGAACCAACTCAATCTGGATGATTTTCATCTTCTAAACTAACAAGTTTTCCTAGAAATAACAATTATAAACTTGTAATATTCCACAATTATTAAAACAGAAATATCAATAAAGGATTTTTACTACAGACCTGTTAGAAAGTGTTTGCTACACACCCTCTGTTTTTGTATTATAGATTATACACCACATTAAATCATCTCTTTTTATAGCTGCCATCCAAAGAGAACGACGTTTCTTGGACAATTAATTTTGTTCTGTTAAGAAGCGGTGATTTGTGGTCGTAGGGACACAATAAAAATATAAATTGTCTTTATTTGCTCGACTTCCGACACGTAATCGGCATGTAACAAAACGTCTTAAAATATTATGTTTCTGGCAGAATTTATATCCTGGCTATCAAAATTTACTATAAATGTGCTAACAGCTAACTACTGAGCCACAATATGAACTGAAAAACACTATAAAATGTATTAAATATAACTTAGCTCTGATTTGACTACCACAAGGACTAATGTAAATACAGCCATGTGTGCCCCCAGCGGCCATATTGGATCGATTTTGACAGGTCGTTGGAATGCCTAATTAGTTTCGAGGGCACATACCCATCTGTTAGCGTGGTGGTACGTAGTGCGCAGGTGTCGGTAGTGTGGGGCCCCACAGACTGGAGCACGCAGGCTCGTCTGGTGGGTGTGTGCGCAGGACAAGAACAAAAAGGCTGGGACCTCAGTAGAGTTACGGTTAGTTAAGTTAGGATTAGTTAGACAGTTAGACAATTAGACTTATAGTTAGATAGTTGACGCGAGTGTGCGCATTGGCGAATATCAGATATATCTGATATTCTAGGTCTGCCTCTCTTTCTTCTACCCTGAGGAGTCCATTGAAAAACTTTTCTTGGCCACCTGTTCTCCGGCATACGTAGAACATGTCCAAACCACTTTAAGCTCGATTTTTCAATTCGATCTAGCACTGTCTCCTTCGATGCATTCATGATACGCCTGACCTCGATGTTTGTCTTTTTTTCCATCCTAGATATACTTGCGCTCCTTCTAAGATAGTCCATTTCAACAACTTGGATTTTCCGCTTCGTATCTGCACTCAAAGTCCATAGCTCTGAACCATAGCAAAGAACTGACTCCACCAATGTTCGTCCAAGTCTCTTTTTAGTAGGGTATTTAAATTTGTCTACTTGTTCAATCTGGACGTTATCATCTATGAAGACTTCAAAACAAGCGTTGGAATTGACAGCTAAGTATTCTGTCTTTTTTAGACTAACCTGAAGTCCCCATTTGTTATATTCTTGGTAAAACCTCTTAGTCATGAACTCCAGATCGAAAGAGTCCTGCGCAATCACGACCTGATCGTCTGCAAAGCTCAGAGTAAACAGTGTATCTTCCCCAATGGGTATTCCCATGCCTTGGCATCTCCTCTTCCATTCCCTAAGGGCTACTTCAACGTAAGCATTGAAGATTAGAGGTGATAAGCTGCATTCTTGTCGCAACCCTTTTGTGGTATTTATTGGATTGGATAGCCTGTGTCCTATCTTAACGTACGCTTTATTTTCTTTATAGAGCTCTTTTATTATCTTAAGTAGGGGTCTATCTACTTCTAAAATATTCAAGGCTTCCCATATCTTGTTGCGAGGAATAGAGTCGTACGCTTTCTCCAAATCGATAAACGCTAGATGGACTTCTTGATCTACTGCTATCTTTTTTTCAATCACCTGCTGTAGGACAAAGAGGTTATCTGTGCAAGATTTCCCCGGTGTGAATCCGTTTTGATCTTCCGAGATTTTGTCACCAATATTATCCCTGAGCGTACCCTGCAGAACTTTTCCAAAAAGCCTGCTTACTGAACTGTTAATGCTCAGGCCTCTATAACAACCGGGGTCGTTGCGATTTCCCTTTTTAAAGATAGATAGACACTATACGAGCCACTCTCCATTCTTGGGGTAGTTTATTTTGCAGACAGCACTGGTTGAACAGCTCTGCCAGGCGCCAGCGCAATTTCTCGGTCCCACACTTTAACAATTCTACTGCAATGTTACCAGGACCTGGTGACCGTCTATTTTTCATTTTTTTGAGACTTAGATGTACTTCTCTTTCGCTGATCGTTGAAGTGCCCGCAAGGTTGTCTTCCTCTTCTGCAGATTGGAATTCTGGTCGGTTTTCTGTTAGTAATTCTTGTAAATGTAGATAATTGATGTAAATGTAGAGTTTAATAAAGTTAAAATTTGCATAGTGAGCATCAGAGCGGCTACGTCGAGATCCAAAATACAATTTAACCGGGCGGAGCAGGCGGAGGTGTCTGACAGGTTAAATGATCTGTCGGACATCTTCACGGTGTTTGTTATTGCGATAGGGGAGACAAAGGGCAAAGAAGGGAAAACGAAGAAAAGTGAGTGTGGATAAGGAGGGGGACAAACTGGAGAGTATGTTCAGAGCTTGGGAAAAGAGAACAGAAGATCGTTTTCAAATGCTGGAAAAACGCATTACTGAGAATAGGACAGCGACTGCACCACTGAATCTGAATCCGGGGAGCAGGGTGGTAATGGGAGCACCTGAGGCTGCCGGTGGTGACACCTGTTGGGACACCAGTGGTGGCGTCCACAGGACTAATTAAAACTTATGCTCAGATGACTGCCTTACGGGACGTAGAAGATAGGAGGATGCAGGTGTGGAAGACCCCGGATGTGCCTAAGAAGAGAGAAATAGTTATTAAGGGACAGGACCCCAACACTAATGTCATGACGGCAGTCAAGGATAGGCTGTCGTCTGACATTGTGGGCAAGGATGGCGTAAAGGGTATAAGAAGATATGCAGGGGGAACTCTGGTCGTAGAATGCAGGGACGAGGAGCAGTGGACAAAGGTGGGGGAAAGGCTAAAAGGTGATGTTATGATCGCAGAGTCAAAGTGATAGAGGGATAAGGAGACCAGAGATGGTAGTGTTGGGAATGTGAAGTGCTGCAAATCACATTTGTTGCCCTAAAAAGCCTAATAACCCTGATGATCGGTCCTTTTCCAAAAAGGACCAATCTAGTAACTTCAGGTTTCCGATCGGAGCCCCAGTCTTCTTAGGCAAGCGTAACAAAAGACACACGCCTTCCACAACAAGCCAACGCCCCTTAAATCCGTCTGGACCACCATCATCTCTTAGTCCAGACTTCCATAAGCTGATACTTGAGCAGGTCACAGCTCATGTACAAGCTTTAATTGCAGATATATTCTCCGGACTATCCGCAACTCAAACCCTGGCAACGAGGAATGACTAAATTGTCCTTATTGTCTCTTGAAATGCAAATTCCTTGAACCCAAAAAATTTCAAGTTAATTGATTTTTTAAACGACAATAGTCCGATATAGTTCTCATCCAAGTGATATTTCTTCGTCCCTACACCTCTATAAAATTCTCTTCTTATAGGGTTTATCGTAACGATCGCCCATATTATCAAGGTACTGCTGTCCCGGTAAAAGGGATTCATCATCACTTCTTTCTGCCTACGCCATTGCTTTGTGCCAAAGGAATGGTTTTCCAGTTAGCCAATTCAGATGGCCCTCTTGTCATATCTTCAATCTATGTTCCTATTAGGACCTGTTTGGAAATACTTTCTAAGTTCGACTTAGAAACTCTTCATACGTCTTCAAATCTTCCCGTGTTAATAGCAGGTGATTTTAACTCACATCATAAGAATATTTGGAGCTTCAGGACTACGAGTGCTAGCGGCAAACTAATAACCCATCTTCTTGGCAGCTACACTCTTCAGCTGCACCTTCCTGCAAAATCTCACGGTATTTCAGTGCACACGGCACACCCCCCACCACTATTGACTTTGACATCTCCAGAAAAAAATTGTTCTCACGTGGACGTAGCTATTCTTGACGGAACTACACTAACTCTTCTTCACTGTTATGCAGTGAAACTGTATTTCGACCCATACGTTCCGTAAGATAACAAATTGGGCCAAATTTTATAAAACACTTCTTACGAAGCGGTACCTACATGACGAAGCGGTCTGCACCTTTACTTCGGCCATCACTCAGGCTCTAGACCAGACAAATCTTCAGTCCCCATAGCCTAATAGATTCTAAAAACTTATTCATTGTCCCTACTTATATTAAAGCTCTTATCGGTCAAAAGAAAATATCGGTTCCTGAGATCAAGCGCAGTGTGAACTCGGCCACTACTGACATCAGGAGCCAGCTCAAACTTTTCAGAGAAGTGGTGGGAGAGTTTCCTGGAATCATTAGTGGACGATCATAAGGCACTTTGGAGAGTGCAGAAACGTCTTCGGGATTCAAATTCCTAATACTATTCGCCTATCCTTGGTCCAAATGGTGTTGCTTACTCTGACGAAGTAAAGGCTGCGGATTTTACTGACCCGGTGGAGTTGTAATTCAGTCCTAATAAACGACCCAGACGACGTTATTAACTTCGAGGAAGTTGTTGAAAACTTCTTCACCCACCGCCTAGTACCTTGGAGTCGCTCCAGTCACTAAGCTCTCATGGAAGCAACATATCACAGTTATGCCAGTCTCCTACATAAAAACAGTTCACTTTCTCTGTTTTCCCAAGTTTTACTCTTTAAAACAGTAATCCTGTACGCAATAAGTATACGCCTCGACTGTCTGGTCTAGAGCATCTGATTACCAAATTAGCAGAATTCATGTCTGCGAAAAAAGCTTTCCTTGGTATATCCAGAATACAGATATTCGCAGCGACCTCCTCAAGTTCACGTAGCTATGTTAAGAAAAATATGTGCCACGGCACTGTTTGGAGGTATGATAACAATTTGGTCTCGGGTATTAATAGTCCTTGTATTCTTTAGTCATTGTTGGGTTTATTATTAGGTATATTAAAACGTTAGGTATATTAAAACGTTTAGGTCTGGTATCAGTAAGACATAAAAGTGTGTTAGTGTTTTTTTGAACCAGTGTTAATTTATATGTAGCTTCCAAATCCGGCGCCGCACGCCGGTGCGATTCTGTAAACATATTTCCTATAACATAGGCTAGGCAAGAAATTTCTTTCTAGGGAGCTTACAGAATCCCACTGCAGGCTGTGGGTCTCTTATCGTTTGATGTACTTCTTATATGGTTATCTGCATATTTGTTTAGCACTTTTGAGAAAAGTAATCTTAAAATTGAGTATTCAGTTCATGCAAACATAACCAAACCATAGGCACTTTTATCTCTTTTACCGCGCAAATTTTGTCAAAAAGTTAAATAAATCCAACTTCGTCAAAGATAGCTTCCGTTAAAATGTCACCATTTCAACAAATAGGAACAATTTTGCGAAAAAAAATCGCATTTTGCTTGCATGAGGAACTTAGTTAATAAGGGTGATAAATATGAAGATTTTGAAAAAATAAAGGTTATTTTAAGAGTATGAAACCACAACATTAGACATCATGTAAGTGCAAAGAAAGTAGCTTAGTCACCGAAATAGTAATTTTATTTCACAACAAAACAAAAACTTAAGACAGCTACAGTATCAAATATTACGTCTATATGTAATTAGTCTTATGCATAAGGAATGTCATTTAAGTTTTTTATTTATATAAATTTAATTTGAAATAAAGATTGTTTATTATTATTGACTTTATTATGTATTTTGCCGTCTGTCTAAGCAATTTTTTGGAAACCCAGTCCATGTCATTACATTGTGTCAAGAAAAAGTTATAGTTTTTCATACGAGGGGATACATGACAGTGACATTTGTGTCTTGCAAAACTGCAGTAAAAAATCTTCCACAATTTTTGGTACACAAAAAACCTTTATTTTGGGAACAAAAAATGTATAAAAATCAATTATACAGAGTGTTACAAAAAACATGTGCCATCTCTCGTGGGAAGATTCCTTTCGTAAAAATAAGATTTATTTTTCATATCGATATAGGTCCGATTCTGCTTTGTTTTGTAGCTACAGGGTGATAAAGTTTTAATATTTTTTCGATATATTATAATTTTCTTCCTAGTAGGTAGGTACTTTTAGCGTTTCGAATGAAATTTTGAGGGTAAAAGTTACTATAAATTCAACATATTTTAAAGTTAAAAAAGTATCGACATATTCACCAGAGACGTGCACATGGGTTATCACTGGAATATTTTTGTAAAAAAAACATGTACGCCACTGACTTTTTTGCTCTTGTTAGCGAAATAGTGTTTTTAATAGTTTAATGCCGATT